CAGACAGCGGATGATATATACATATTTAAAGTGTCTGCTGAACTTTAAAGGTTTTCAAGGAGTCGTATTAGGGTAAAACATGCATAAACAGGTTATAATCAAAGTATTGGCTTCACGTGACACCGCGTTACATTTCCAAACAACGCGGTTGCTTGTACATGTATTCAGTGTAATGATATTTACATGAAAGAACTTACAAACTGTACACTCAAATATATTAAAAACTAAAGCTGAATATTTCCCCCCAAAATGCTTTATTCGTATCATCACGGAGGATAGGAAACTACGAAGCTCCTGAAGGGACATTTTCGTAACCAAAAATAGAAAAATAATCTCGTAATAACGACTTATAATCTCGTAATAACGACTTTTAGCTCTCGCTATAACTATTTTTATGTGGCCTTCGTCTACTTTTGAATTGGGTCTTCTGCATGGACTGCTTGAACATAGAGTTCATGGTTGGGACCAACTTGATGAGCATCTGTTCTTTAGAGTCCTGCATAACATCCTTGCTTCCCTTGTTTGATTTGTAGCCTGGCTGAAATGTCCTTCCCTGACATAATGTGAACCTAGCACATATTTTGAAACTAAACACAAATGCCACCTTACTTCACTCTCTGAACTAATTTCCGTTTTATGTATTAGCTTTTCTTCCCTGTGTATCTCATCATGATTAATAAAAAAAAACAGTATAGTTAAAATCGAAATGGTTATGTGTTCTGACTTATAGCAAGTCCTGAGTATGTTTAGGTGTGAAGGTTAGTGCTCTGTACATGAGGCCATATTATTTCATAATGACCAAGTTATAGCAAGCAGTCATTGCGCATATTTTACCTGGTACTTCAGCTTATATGTTGTCCGCTTGAAGTCATATGGCTGCTATGTCAACTAGGGTCACTCACTCACTCGCCCACCTACACTTTTACACACTCGCTGTCATCCACTCACTCACTCATGGGCAGTGGGGTAGCCTAATGGTTAAAGCATCCTCTCATCACGCTGATTACCCAAAAGGGGACAATGTGTGAAGCCCATTTCTGGTGTCTCCCGCGTGATATTGCTGGGATATTGCTGGGATATTGCTGGAATATTGCTGGAATATTGCTGGGATATTGCTGGAATATTGCTGGGATATTGCTGGGATATTGCTAAAAGCAGCGTAAAACCAAACTCATTCACAATCACTATCTATCCCACACTCACTCACACACTCAATCTGTTCCGCTCGGCTCAGCCACTCATTCACTATCGTACACTCACTCATTCACTATCGTACACTCACTCATTCATTATCGAACACACACACGGCTCCGCTCCACCCTGCTCAGTCACTCACTCACTCACTCAGCTCATTCACATCCATCCACACAACAGGAACATTTCCTTGTCCTATTGATGCATTAGAACTGGACCAGATCTACAAGTTGCTACTGGTGGTGGTATTAATAATCCACATCACTCCATACATACACTACACTTGTTTTAAGACTCTTGTTCCCCTAAGAAGTCAGTATTCTTGTCAGACTTGGCTTGATGATATGTTCACAAACAAGGTCAGCTGTCGACATTATCCGGTAGAACGGCACTTCCCCCAAGCATTCTTATCTGATTCCTTCCTTCATCACAGTCCGTCAGAACAAACCAGAACTGAATAATTTACCAAACTGCATGTAACGACATTTTGTTGAATAAATCAGATTTATGGTAGGGTTTGCTTTTGAAACATGTTTCCGACATGACACATGGAATACTTCCTGATGTAGATGAGACTAATGTGTTTGAACCTTGTATTTGTTGTTTGGGCAACTTGGGGCTGTCTGCCAAATCTCTTTTGAAGACGTATATTCCTGTTCAGACTGATTAAGAATTTATTACTGACTGGCTGACTGACTGAGTATGGTGTTACGTCGTTTTTAGCAATATTCCAGCAATATCACGGCGGGGGGCACCAGAAATGGGCTTCACACATTGTACCCATGTGGGGAATCGAACCCTGGCTTTCGGCGTGACGAGCGAACGCTTTAACCACTAGGCTACCCCACCGCCTCTAAGACTGTATTAACTTATTCTAGGTTATTTGTGTCCATATTTTGGGGTATTAAAGAAAAGATGGATATACAAAACTTTGAAATTGATCATAATAGTTGTCTAAAAGACCCTTATTTTTTACCTGATGTTTATGTTAAATTAAGGGGCGGTGGGGTAGCCTAGTGGTTAAAGCTTTGGCTCGTCACGCCGAAGACCCGGGTTCGATTCCCCACATGGGCACAATGTGTTAAGCCCATTTCTGGTGTCCCCCGTCGTGATATTGCTGAAATATTGCTAAAAGCGGCGTAAAACCAAACTCAGTCAGTCAGTTATGTTTGACTTCACTCTTGATATACTTGTCCTCATGGCAGTCGGTCCCATCAGGTAAATGTTTGACTTTTCATAGTCTCACAGTTCCCATCAGGTGAGAGAATCATAGTCCCATCAGAGAATCATAGTCCCACAGTTCAGGTGAGAGAATCATAGTCCCACAGTTCCCATCAGGTGAGAGAATCATAGTCCCACAGCTCCCATCAGGTGAGAGAATCATAGTCCCACAGTTCCCATCAGGTGAGAGAATCATAGTCTCACAGCTCCCATCAGGTGAGAGAATCATAGTCCCACAGTTCCCATCAGGTGAGAGAATCATAGTCCCACAGCTCCCATCAGGTGAGAGAATCATAGTCTCACAGCTCCCATCAGGTGAGAGAATCATAGTCCCACAGCTCCCATCAGGTGAGAGAATCATAGTCCCACAGCTCCCATCAGGTGAGAGAGATCATAGTCCCACAGCTCCCATCAGGTGAGAGAATCATAGTCCCACAGCTCCCATCAGGTGAGAGAATCATAGTCTCACAGCTCCCATCAGGTGAGAGAATCATAGTCCCACAGCTCCCATCAGGTGAGAGAATCATAGTCCCACAGCTCCCATCAGGTGAGAGAATCATAGTCCCACAGCTCCCATCAGGTGAGAGAATCATGGTCCACAGCTCCCATCAGGTGAGAGAATCATGGTCCCACAGCTCCCATCAGGTGAGAGAATCATAGTCCCACAGTTCCCATCAGGTGAGAGAATCATAGTCTCACAGCTCCCATCAGGTGAGAGAATCATAGTCCCACAGCTCCCATCAGGTGAGAATCATAGTCCCAAGCTCCCATCAGGTCATGGTCCACAGCTCCCATCAGGTGAGAGAATCATAGTCCCACAGCTCCCATCAGGTGAGAGAATCATGGTCCCACAGCTCCCATCAGGTGAGAGAATCATAGTCCCACAGCTCCCATCAGGTCATGGTCCCACAGAGAGAGAATCATGGTCTCACAGCTCCCATCAGGTGAGAGAATCATAGTCTCACAGTCAGGTGAGAGAATCAGTTTCCCATCAGGTGAGAGAATCATAGTCCCATCAGAGAGAATCATAGTCTCACAGCTTCCCATCAGGTGAGAGAATCATGGTCTCACAGCTCCCATCAGGTGAGAGAATCATAGTCCACAGTCCATCAGGTGAGAGAATCATAGTCTCACAGTTCCCATCAGGTGAGAGAATCATGGTCTCACAGTTCCCATCAGGGTGAGAGAATCATAGGTCTCACATGGTCTCACAGTTCCCATCAGGTGAGAGAATCATAGTCCCACAGTTCCCATCAGGTGAGAGAATCATGGTCTCACAGTTCCCATCAGGTGAGAGAGAATCATAGTCTCACAGCTCCCATCAGGGTGAGAGAATCATGGTCCCACAGTTCCCATCAGGTGAGAGAATCATGGTCCCACAGTGACTCATCCCATGAGAGAATCATAGTGAGAGAGAATCATGGTCTCACAGGTTCCCATCAGGTGAGAGAATCATGGTCTCACAGTTCCCATCAGGTGAGAGAATCATAGTCCCACAGTTCCCATCAGGTGAGAGAATCATAGTCTCACAGTCACAGGTCTCACAGTTCCCATCAGTAAGTCGTTATTACGAGATTGTAAGTCGTTATTACGAGATTATTATTTTTTATTTTGGTTACGAAAATGTCCCTTCAGGAGCTTCGTAGGAAACAATTATTATGACAAGAAAAATATTATACAGCGTCATAATTCTCCCCTGGTGCGACGAACGAAACATGTCGAGGGAGTAGTCAGCGTTGTGTTTTGTTTGGAATTTTAATATCTGTCCATTCTATATGGCCTTCTATTAATATAATCTGTTATAAATACAGATCACGAAGGATGTCTTTCACAACAGGTCCTGTATACATGGTCATGATTCTCGTGGATTTGAAAGCGGTGTAGACTGTTGCTTATAAATACAAGTAGAACAACAGCAACAAACATCCCACCCCCACCCCCCAGTAACTGCCTTGAGTATACAGCGTATCTTCTCTACACGTCCTGCGTGAAGGTGAATCGTAGTTTGGGAGACATATAAACAGGCGGAATATTTAAACAACAACTACCGACAGCTCATTAACTTTTAAACTTTTCAGTGTAGACAAGTGTTTCGCATCTCACCTGCTTTGAAAGATTGGTTGATCATTTTCGATCCAAGAGATAATTCTCACTTTCACATGCAATATCTTTCTTTTTTCACTTTACAAAAAAATATATCTATACTATAAAGCATAATTAGTGACAATAGTTCTTTGTACAAATATTTTGTAAACAGTTTAGAACATTGTTTTTTTAATACAAATCCATATACTGTAATTACGATAAGATAATGTACGGACTTGAAATTATTGACGTGGAGTGGGGGCTCCGTTCCTCGCGTACACCAGTTTGTTCCCGATTCATTGCTAGAGTTACCCCTTATATCACACTGGAAGAGTTCCATTTCTGTGTCGCCCTGTCCTCTAGTAAGTCTTAGCGCCATGGCATTCAAATACATTAGTAGCACACTCTCATATATAAGTATAAGACATAGAAATACCCATAATTTCAAATTTTATGCCGACGCGGAAGTTTCTTTGTACCCGAAGCCTCCGTAGGGGGGCGCAGAGCAAAAAGCTGGGGCACCTTATTGGGCGGGGAATATCACGTGACTGCTATCATTGAACTGACGCTGTGTTTTGGCGGACGATCGAGAGAGCAGCCGGTTATTTCATCAGGGACTGATCAACGACAATGGTACGTAATCCACGTAGCATCGGCCGATACTATTGTCATCCACGCATAAAGTATGATCCATACTACTCCTGAGTGTATTAATTTTTATATCCGAATATATGTTGCAATTTTAATTTAATTTTAAATCATTTTACAGGCAGGAGGAAAAGCAGGAAAAGATTCCGGTAAAGCGAAAGCTAAGGCCGTCTCCCGATCTGCAAGAGCTGGACTTCAGGTGAGAATATTTGAATGATTTTGCATGTGCATTTGTAAAATATGTTCATAAATGCATTACTTGATCACCAGGAAATGTTCTGTTTTGATAGTTGCTAACTAAAGTTTTCCATTTCTAGTTTCCAGTCGGTCGTATTCACAGACACTTGAAAAACAGAACGACAAGTCACGGTCGTGTTGGAGCCACAGCTGCTGTATATAGTGCCGCAATTTTGGAATACTTGACCGCTGAAGTAAGTAGGAACACGGAAGACATTTGTACATTTCTACAGAAGGGTTAGAACTGCCTGCATTTGTTTGTAAACAATGCTCACCTGATGGAGCAAGTTTCTCATGACTGGCCCGATTCAGTGTTTGAATTATAACATTTGCATAGTGCAAAAGTTACTTCCTATGTTCTTCTAGTTTGTTTTCATATGTTTTATTATCTCCTTCCAAGCATATCGACAAAATTATTGGGAACCCAGTGATTTCCCCAATAACGTTTACCAACAGATCAAAATTGCGGGTGACAAAATGGCGGGGAGACGCCATATTTGTGGACCTGTCTTCATATGTCATTGTTTAGAAATGTTATTTCCGGTTTTCTGTTCGATGTTAAATGAACCAGATATTTGCCCTGATTAGTTTTTGAGTATGTGCATGTTTGTAGGCATGTATATCTGTGTTTGGATAATACCTTTTTAGGTGTCAAGTCCTTTCAAGAAAATGTCCCTGTGACTACATCTCTTGTGTTATTAGTTGGTATAGTTATGAAAAGGGTCCCAGTCTCAGATTACTTGTTTTACATTTGCTATCTATTTTATTTAGCCATCATCAATTACTGGGAAAGATTTCTGCCCGTAATATTTTATCACTCTGTACCTAAGAACAAATGTTTTATGTAAAACACTAACCCTTAACTCCTAAATCTAAACCAGACCTCTAACCCTAAAACCTCGAAATAATCCTAATAAATAGTATACATTTCAAGCTGGGGTTCGTGGAAATCTTACCTCGTTAACAAACCTTCAATTAAATTAAATACTTTTCATTTTTGTAACATTTCCATCATTATATTGATTGCAGTCAAACACTATATAGTACCCAGTCCTAAATCAATACTGGTCAACTCTTGCCTGAATAACCTCAAGGCCACAGGGTTTAATTCTACACTTTTATTATGTGTGAAGTTCAGTGAAAGCCCCTATTCATAAAATGTTCAATGATTGATCCCATACTTTCATTCATGTTGAATTATCCAATTGGTCTGTGATTTGATGATTTCACCATAGCTACTGTGTTCGAAAAGTAGGAATATGTAGGGTGGGATAGACATCACTGGCCATATTTATGTTGTCTGCAGTTCATTTCACATTAATGTTTGTGGAAGTAACTAAGTAATTTTGAGACAAATGTCACTTCGGTCCCCAGACTAGTGGTCATCATTCCATGCAACTGTACAATACAAAAGAGAGGGACTATGTCAAGGTGGATGTTTCTGTCCAGATATACCTTAAATGTTGGATGTACCAGGTAAATTGCTAAAGTCACAAAATGGCTGGATCAGTGTGAAATCCTTTTGTTTTAGGAATCACTGTTTTCTGTTGATTTTCTCAAGCATGCTCAGTTTGCATGCATTGCAAGTAATGTATGGTTTTGAAAACAATTTCTATGCTGAGTATGTATGTTTTCTATATTCATTGTACATTTCCTCTTTCTCTATTACCAAGTTTGAAACAATAGCTTCAAAACAATGGTACAATTGGTTAGTGTTCCAGAAATGGACCACTGATTTTACTGGAGAATAGATCCACCAATACCTATCCCTTATCAGGTTTATTTGCAGTCTACTTCTCTAGTGGTGCTCCAAATAGTCCAATAATTGAAAATCGAACATAAGAAGGATTGAATTATCAATATAATTATTGATTGTAGAAAAACATTTTCAATTTAACAGAATTTTGTTGTTTTAGTATAACATACTTGAATGATATAAACTAACCATTAAATTTGACAAATGTTCATGAAAAAACGTGCTTAACAGCATAAAGCTATCGCATTTTAAAATTTTAAGCACTTTCATTGTTTAATTGCAATTCCAGTGTATCTTTCTTGCATCGTGCATTACTTTATTGCATGACATTATTAGTTATAAAACATTAATTGGAAAAGCCTGGTGGGAAACCATTAAAATTAGTGGGTTCAGGCTAAAAGAAAGTCACCACAACAAAACAGCACTTGGCAAAGCGGCACCCTTTAGACATAACGGAACCTCTACTTGGCGGCAACGGCTACAAATCTTATGGCTTAAAACGGCACCAACTAAAATCTTGTGGGGAAAACTAGTTTGTTATGAGATAATTGGATTGCAGAATGTTTAGATGGTAAATGCATCTACTAGTATGTCGGAGCTATCAAAATTTAAAGAACAACAATGTATTTTTTTATATTCAAGGGATACGATGTGAAAACTACTTTATAATGGTAAATTATTTCAATTATGTATCCAGCTAATGGAACAATGTACTGAGAGGCGGCGTTTATATAAGCCACTAGGCTTGTTTGCCAATCCAGGTTTCTTTGACGAAATAAAAAAATATGTTTAAACCAAATACATCTACTGTGCCGACAGTGATTGGAAATGGGCATCCCATAGCCAATAATCGGATTGCAGAATGTTTAGATAGTAAATACAGTCATCCCTCGCAATAACGCCTTAGCGATACCGCTGGGTAATCCTGTGGCTCCCATAAAAAAATTGCCCAGCGATCACACATCTTCACATCATTGAAAATAGCACATCAACAAATCCGCTATGTTGAGCTCTGGTTAATCACGTAAACTAGTGAAATTCAGTCGCGGATTGCCTTTAACACAGTGTTTATCATACATATCCATGCTTTTCAGATGCTTAAAACATGCAGGGTTTTTTCATAATAATAGATGACCATCAAACATCGTAATAACTTTATCATAGTGACATATGCCATCAGTCAAGTACTTGCAACGTTTGCTGTGATGCAACACGCCGCGTAATTATGTGGGTAAACATTGCCATCCTAAAATGTATGTCAGAAAAACGATTTTATTTGATTAAATTCAATCCCATTTTCATTCATTAAAACTGTTTACAATAACAACGGAGAAACTATGAGTGAAATGGCATTACCTCATTCCATACAAGCGCTACTTATACATTCTGTGAGGGTCCGCTTTTCGCTACGCGCCTGCATAGCAGCACCAATTTCACATTTTTCTCAGCTATCACTTAACAAATTACAGCCTTGTCATCCTTTGACCCCAAGACCCGCGTTATTGACTCATTGAAGTCATATTTGAAAATTAATTGCCAACATTTTGTTTTCAAATCAATGTAGCATACATAGCCGGGAAGTCAGCGTGACTTGTCAAACTGTCTCCACATAAAATGTACCCAGCCAGGTAACCTAAAAGTGCTTAGCAATGCTCATTGTTATGTTAAATATGTTCGTAGAAAACATGCATTTATACTTATAATGATAGCAATATATAAGATCTCTGTTAGAATAGCTGCTTGACGATAAATTATTCTGATAATGGAATAGAAATTCTTTAATGTTATATTTTTAAGATCGGGTCTGCACAGCTGATTGCTATTTCCGGCTTAGTTGAATAACAGGTAGCATGACAGGAACAACAATAGAATTATCATGTCTTGTGATGTTTGATTGCAAGTTTCATGAACATACATCTATTTTCATTTACAAAGTTGTTGTTTTTCACCTCCAACAATAACGATATAGTTTTGACTGGGCACAATACCACGAAATAGCAGTTTTGTTATGTCCATGGAAAATAATGATTTTACTTGGCCTTTGTTCCACGTTATGTAATCATTACTATAACGCTGGGGTCATCCATGGACCCCAAGACCTGCTATGGCTATGGTGAGGGATGACTACATCTACTGTGCCAACAGTGATTGGAAAGGGCATCCCAATTTAGCGTGAAAACATCGCGAACCTTTGATGTTTTTAAGTACATTTACTCAACTGAAATCGCCCAGTGTCAAAATGAAATTGTATTTAAAACACACAAATGTACCCATTGTTTACCATTAGCTGAAATACCTTAGTTGTGCGTCGTATGACCTTAAATAAAGAAAATAACAACCCATTGTTTGATTATATATTTTTTCTTCCATTTTGGGGGTATACATAACAATTTTTTCTGAATATACACAACATAAATTATGCAAGCTTAATGATGTTTCATTTTTCATATTTTACCAATTTTTATTAGAAATTTGCTGAAATTGTGTCACTGCCGTTCACGAAAAATGGTAACATATTTTGAAAAGAAAAAAATTAAAGGTAATATTTGTTTAACGATACATATATATTAAAATATCTAGTTTTACAATATAACATGGCTAATGAGTTTTGAAATTGTATATTTAATGCTTATGAAAAAGACCAAAAATCAAATTGCACATCAGCCACTGGAGTTGTGACACATGAAAATTGAGTAAAATTGGGTGGTTTAAAATATAAAAATATATTTTCCCTAATTTTGTTACTGTAAAGTGTAGACTAAACTGGGCTAAGTTAGTTACCATAATTTTATTATGATTTTTTGACTTAAGTTTGTCGGATGCAAACATAACATAAATATGCACGAAGTTTGAGAATGACTCATATGTTGAAATAATCTTGCTAATGTTAATAGTGAAATGAAATAAACATAAGTCAACGTCATGCTTTGTTTTTATATGGTGCCATTTTAGCCCAGAAATCATTAGCCGTTTTAAGCCAAACAGATTTGGTGCTGTTTTTAGCTATAACCCAAATTAGTGATTACATTTAAAATGTATATATTTCGATAATAATCGAAAATCGTTCACAAGTCCTCTGTTAATCGATATTGGATTTGGTTTCGATTCCCAACACAACTACTTCCTATACTTCACTGCAATGTTGCTCCATGGCTGTACATAACACAGAAACCTGTCTCTCACACACACACACACACACACACACACACACACACACACACACAGTATAGAAGCAATGCAGGAGTCAAGTGTTGTCCAAAGTAACCCCTCAATACTAGTCATTGTACTAAATTCTTGAAAAGAAATAGATAGTTCCTGCTACTGAAATAATCTAAAATGTTGCAGTACACTAAATGATTTCAGTTCTTTTGATTTTCATATTTCCAATAAGAAACCTTGAAATTATGCAGGGTCCCACAGGATCCCAAGTCAGTAAAACAAAGTCAATACAATGTCAATAATCTACATTCTAAGAAAACATTTTTAATGAAATTCTCAAAGTATTCCTGCCATGGACATTAAATTGTATTCCTGCTACAAGGTAATGTCCAAGTTTTCAACAACCCAAATACTTGAAAGTTGGTCATCATGTTGCAGGGATTGGGAAAGACAGGGGCCATGGGCCATTTTGCACATTAGAATAAAAATGAGCCATTAAAATTTGGAAGTTTACTATTGATACAAGGGCAGTCAAGCCCATTCTAAATTGAGAAAATGGCTAATAATCCTGAAAATGGTTTCTCATTAAGGCATAGTGAGTTTTCACGTCACTTTTAGCAATATTCCAGCAATATCACGGGGGACACCAGAAATGGGCTTCACGCGCATTGCACCCATGTGGATAATTGAACCCAGGTCTTCAGCGCGACAGGCTTAACACTTTAACCACTAGGCTACCCCCATTAAGGCATAAATGATTGTTTTGCTGCTTGTGTTATTCAGAATTGACAATGTTTTGTTATGTCTTTCAGGTACTTGAGTTGGCTGGCAATGCCAGTAAGGATTTGAAAGTAAAACGTATCACACCTCGCCATCTGCAGCTAGCCATCAGAGGAGACGAAGAATTGGATTCATTAATCAAAGCAACTATTGCTGGTGGTGGTAAGTACTCTACTTGGTGTTGTGAATTCAGAATTACCATTAAGATAGACTTCCTCGTGTAATTGTGACAATGATACAATGTGAATGAGGAAGATGGTAGTAACCTGTTAAAGCTATAGACAACTAACGTTGAAGCAGGACACAGCCAGGCATCAGCAGTCAACAGTTTTAGGTCACTCTTACACTAGATCCCAGGAAGTAATGAAAATATATTGACTACTCAAAGGAAATGCTTTAAACCTGAAGCGAACAGTAAATACTCAATGGCCAGACGAGTGTCACCGAACCCTGTAATTCATGTAGGCAGTGTTTACTTGTGACAACCCTTCAAGGTTTGAAAAATCCAAACTTTTTATTTGTATGTTTCTGTTAATTAGGTAGCCTAATGGGATTGGAAAGACCTTATCTTGGAAACGAATTTGTATCAATATTTGCCCTTGAAATACCTCAAATTTTGTCTCTAACAACACTATGTATATACAGATGTGAAAACATGTTTGTGAATATCTGCAGATGTATGAAATAATTGTATCAGAAACTTGAACCAGATTTTGCTTTTATCATTCTGTACCTACCTGGTTTTCATGAAAATTACTTGAATCAAAAGATTCTATGGAGCGCAGTTGCAGTCGGGAAAGGTGTTTGCTGTTGTCAATTTGACTTCAAGTACATTGTTACAGCTTTGAATATTCCTTGAATTTGACATATCTGTATCGACTGTTAATGATTTGCAGTTTGCAACTTTTATCACTATTTCAAAGCCTAAGTCTGGTAACATTCATGTGAGTCTAGTAAGCTCAGCTAAATAATAGACAACATGATGACACAAATGTGCACAGAAAGGTGTGAAGAGGCAAGTTTGTTCATGTAGACTTGATGAATCCATGAGACCTTAGAGAGGATCTTGGCGTAGGCATCCATTCTGTATCCAATTATATGCAGTTGAAGTTTCTTGTAAGTCTTTAATGTTTAAAGCAGTCATTTAATTACAATAAGGACAATTAGTTTAGAAGAAATAAGCTACTGTTCTCATTTTCTGTGGAAAGAGTTAAGTAAATTCTATATACATGGGAGTAGTCAAACCCAGTCTTGAAATGTAAAACAAATTATACCAGTGTAGTTGATTTTGTTTGATTTTAATCATGGAGTTTGGTGTTGGTTTAACATAATCAGTGTTAATGCCCCCCACTAGTTACATAACTAGTGGATGAAAGTAAGTCTCGTACATCCTTGACTTCATTCTTGATTTTGTTTCAGGTGTCATCCCTCATATCCACAAGTCTCTGATCGGAAAGAAGGGCTCCCAGAAGGCAGCATAAGATGGAGGATGCGTTCTATCCTGTACATTGCCATGTGTAGCTGCTGTTGCGGTGGAACACTGTCACTGTGGCAGTCTGTAGCATAACCATCACCTCATCTCACCCTTCACTCCACTGTAGCAATCATCGTCATCTCATCATAGTAGAATTCAAATTTTTATTTACTCGTGTTTGAAATGTCTTTGTATTCCATGTTTTGTCCGTCATTAAAATTTAACATGTCAAAAACAATTTTGGTCTGTTATCCTTTGTAAATACATTTAGCAGAGGCTTTGCTTGGAATGACTTGACTTCAGGATACATGTATATTTATTTATCAACTGATTTTGGTAGTTTTCAAATCACTCAGATGGCCCAGAAACTGTGTTGATCTAGTTCAACACAGCAGTTGGCAGTATTTCAGCTGTGTGACTGGACTATAAATATCAAATCCAGGCTAGACATTGAGGAACTTTGTGGAGATGCGGTAATATGCACACAGCAGTCAGTGTGGCTGGCTGCTTCGTATGACCAGCATATTATCCTGGTGGGTGAGTACCAGTAATCACCACCAGAACAGATTATGAAAATATTTGTATATATCTATGAAGGATATGGCTGAGGGGAAACAATACACCCACATGACCAAGCAGGACATGTTTTCACAATTACAGGTCTGAGAAGCACCAGTGCAAAAGATATTCTGGACATTTTCGTTCACCTGACAGCCATACATGGAGTGCTTAAATGAAGGTACTCGGCAACATTGGGTTAGGATACAGGATAACTGGTCGTAGAATCGTATTTGTAAAGTGTGTACTATATTCATCACAAAAAGTTAAGCAACACAAATTTGTAGTCTCATTACATTTTCATTTATTGAAATTGCAAATCATGGAATGGTGCAATAGAAAGGTGAATCATGTATCATTCATGCCACAAATTTTGCATGTTTCTCTGTATGGTTGTGTTCGCGGTGATGTTGTCAATGTTATCAGATAAATCAATTTGACAGTTACTAAAGGTTACGTATTCTTTGAATATTTACTGGGATTAGGTGTCTGACTCAGACTGTGGGTTCGAATCCCGATGGGCCTCAACCTAACAAAATTACTGGTCGTTCTTCCCAAACATAACAGATGTTACATTAAACGGCTTTCTAAATGATATTGTGTAATCACAGATATTCTACGTCCTGCATGTAAATATGATTCAATACAAAATATCATGTAATATTTGAATAAGGATCAGTTCTATTGATTGAATTAATGCATTTAGAAATGTTCCATTGTTTATAACGATCTTAACCTGAGATAAAAATTTACATACAATACTTTTATTTCCCACTCTTTGCGCTTCCCACACAATACCACCCAAATGAATAAACTGATTCCAACATAATAAACCCAGGTTTTCCGACCAACCAAAATTGTACATTACATAACATTAATTAATAATGTTCTCTAAATAGATTGAGGTCAAAGTGCGATTTCTGGGACTGAGTCCGGTGGTGGCAGTGTACGTTTTGATAGCATGTTTCGTCGACTTGTCGAAATCCTAGGTCACAATTTGTTCACATAGAAGTAAAGAATGTCTGGTGAATGTTGTCGGATGCTGTCACGAGAAACCCAGTTCTTCACCCCAAGTTATGGTCACATCTAGTGCTAGCTCTTTAACAGCAGAGCTCGTATATTCCGTTTGACATGGGACAACATGCAAATGCGATTTTCTTTGAATGTTTCCTTTGTGTGTGTTAAAGGAAGATGGTGTTTTTCAGTAAGCTGAACTGCATCAACAGTATGACGTTGCATCACAAGCATTCAACACGTGTCAGATCAGACATGGGAAGCCTCGCGATGCTCATGAACAGAACTGAGAACGATACAGGTTCATTCAATAGTCCTAGTTATGAAGTTATATAAACCAGGTATCACCGCACATCTACTTTCACATGTCGCTAATTCCGATGTGAACCATTTACACGGTCATTGACCCCACTGGTAAGTGTGGCACTGCATGATATACCGCCATAATAGCTGGAATATTGCTGAGTGCGGCATAAAACTAAACTACATGACGAGAACCTGGGAAAGGGACACTAGGCGTTAGGCTAGATGTTCACAGCATATGTGTGAGTGAGAGTTAGTTTTACGCCGCACTCCAGCATTATGGCGGCTGTCTGTAAATAATCGACCCTGGATCAGACAATCCAGTGATCAGCAGCATGCGTATCGATCTACGCAGTTGGGATACGATGACATGTGTCAACCAAATCAGCGAGTCTGAGCACCCGATCCCGTTAGTTGCCTCCAACTACAAGCATGGATTACTGAAGATCAATTGTATCCCGGATCTTCACGTGTCGCAGCATAGGATACAGAAGGAGCATTGTGAAGGGCCAAATAACATGGCACTAAATACACGGTTACATAACCCGTATCTCAGCAAGTCACGTTGTATATACAGAACCATACAGTATTCTGGGTTTAGTTACCGAACGCATTCGCTAAACCTGAACGCTGAACAGAAGGGCGTCCGTATTTAATTCTGGGTTTCTCATCGCCTGACTGTTCCAACAATGGGGCGGGCGAAAATAATAAAAGGCAAAAAAAAAAATACTATTCAGTATTCAAATATGAATGTATACTCAACAAATGCATTGGGAATCGCGGCAAAAACAATAAAGGTTTGCCCCTAAATTATCTACCAGTATGTATGTTCACAGTATAGCAGTTTAACGAATACTACTGAGCCTAGGTTTACTTAGACTGCTTTTCGCTGATTAAACAGCACATGCTTCATGAAAGTTGGCAATAAACCCAGTCATAATTGTGACTTTGCATGCTGCAATAATTCATTCAATCATTTTTTTTTCAAATATATCAATTCATTATAAAGAAATTATGAAAATCTTAATTTATTACTTTACATGATTATCAAGGGTTTTCAGAGTAATATAGCTACATTCCTTCCTGAAGGAACATAGCATTGAGGTAAACGTTGAATTAATTCCCTTATTAAGTTGATTTTGGACGTCTACAGGACATTTATTGTACCTTACCCTCGCCTTGCAGATGCTATAATCACAAAGACTCTGTCACAAATCAGAAAGTTTCTGCCCCAAAACTCCCAAAGACTCCACTTTCACTGTAGCCAAGTTCCCTACCAGTGATACACGATATTGTGGAGTCGACCGCCATACTTGCATGCATGAAAATCGCGAACTCCTAACATTTTCGGATCGTAAATATTAGTGGATGCCAATCCTAAATCGTGACAGGGAGTAAAGATGCAAGAGTTGTTTCCATTTAAATACCCGCTGAAGATTTGAATTTTTATTTTTTCTTGTGGTGAAACATTTTTTTCAATGGGCGGTGGACGATTGAGAACAGTCGGCGCACAGTTTAGAATAAAAATATATTTTTATTGTATGGGCGGGTAGGATTTTTACGGGCGGCGGGAGATGAGAAACACAGAATTAAATACAGACGCCCTAATATGCCCCATCACCATCGTCTCCCAGTAGTTAGCATCAAGATGAGGGCTCCTCAGTCCTCACACATGTTCGAGAATGCTCAGGCCTGATGATCCGGGTTACAATTGGTCTTTACCAACCCATACTTGTCGTAATCGTCGACTTACCGGACCGGGTTGTCAAGCTCGTTGACCTGGTTGATATACATGTATTCATGTCGCCGTATCCATGTTGTGTTGATCGGAACTCATGTCAATCAATGGGTTGTCTGGTCCAGACTCAAAATGACTTACTGGTCGCCGTCATATGGCTGTGATGTTTCTGAGTGCAGCGTTAAACAGCCAAGAAAGTGTGGCGGCAACGATGAATAGACACCCATTCTCACTAATGAGGTGCAATTGATATCGCCAGCCATTTGTTCATAATCCAACAAATATTGTGCCCAGTATTTGCATTATTTACAAAGTCTTATACTCGCCCTAGCCAATAAACACTGTTCCGGGTCATCTGTCCTTATATTGGCAATGCAGGAAAAGTCAAAGTTGGCAAAACGATACGTACGTTACTGTCGCCTTGTCGGAGAAGATTCACTTAAGTAAATACTGTCATTTTGATTTTGCAGTTTGGGTTTCAGATTGAATATTTAAAGAACAATGTACTTATTACGCTGCATTCAAATGAGAATAAGAAGGCAAACCATCCAAATCGGAATAGTTATAGAGTGTTGAAATGTTGTTGCCAAACTTTGGATACATACGTTGTGTTTTTCTGGATGACAGTGTAGCAGCGTACCTTTCTGGCTTAAGTGAAGTATAGTATCAATTATGTATACTCAAAACATTTACCAATTCAATTACGACAGGTTTTAACTAAAAGTATAGTTCAGTATTGGAAAAATGCTTTTCAACACCACAAACAAGATGCGTAGAAATCAAACAAAACATACGTTATCATGCCAATAATTACTTCAATTTCTATAACACTTCACGCAAAACATTATACCAACAACACTCATTTCTAGCATTATAAAACAGCTCATATCACGATCAGTAGTGTGTATAGATTTGCAAAATGAACATGAAAACCATTGAAAATATACATACGTAACCGTTACATACGTTACTAGAAAGTACGGAATTAAGTGTTCGAAACAATATGATTAGGTTTTGGCTATACCTACTTCATGTGACGACAGTCGTCGAACAGCAGACACATTTTGGGAGAGAAACCACATCAGTTTTATGAGGTAATGTTGTTTAAAATTCAGGTGATACCATGCATAATTAAAGACGTCACGTTAAACATGTTACAAAGTGTAATTCTTTCAAATTGCCATTGTGTGTTTTAACTACTATCATAACAAACAGGAAAGCGATGCTAAGGGCATCATTTGGTGGTCCAGTTTCCGATCAAGGCATGCTAAAGTAACTGATACATACGTTATCAACGGTAACGTAGGTAACAACATTTGTTGAAGGTTTCAAACGTAAATGTCATATCATTTGAAGCCAGAAACTTTGGGTTTTAAAACATTCAGACTTAAACTGGCAATCAGTGTTATTTAATGTCCTTTTAGTTTCACATAATGAGCTATGTGTTGGGAAAGAGATGTTCACCTCTGAATGATATGAAAATTGATATGAATATTTGATTGTTTAATGGGATGGAAGGCTTGATGTACAAATGAAAGGTACTTTAGTAGCTTATCAGAAAGAGGTAATATATTTGTAATAACATTTGGATTAGTCCTGGGTCTTTGTTATGTGAAAGAGCATTATTATAGGGTAACGTATGTATCGAAATGTATTATACATACGTTACTAATTTGTTTCTTATTTCAAGTGGGAAAACGTAGAGCAGAAATTCAGACAGAATATCGGTAAATTCGGAAAGCAAAAGGGCCCGCCTTACTTGAGAAAGAATGATCGAGGATACAGTCTTGTTATGTTCCTTTGCCAAATTTATGATGATTAATAATGATCACCCTGATATTGTCTTTATGTAGTACTAAAACTGTAAAGGAAGAAACGATAGAATCTTGTAATCCTGAAGAAAACGATGCTGATGTGTTTTAATCGATGTTTTAGGTAAGAAAAAGTATTATTCTTCATAATAAAAATCTTATTTGAAACAATTTAAAGTTGGGCTACATACGTTACTGTTTGTACTGCAAAAGTGACTGGTAATGTTCATGAGTTTTATGTTGTTGCAACTGGCTATCGATCAAATATTTTGCTACTCATTTTTGGTCTACTACGCCCTCAGATTGTCGGCTAATCTAGTTATCAGGTTTGATTTTAGAATGTTTTGCAATTTGTTGGTATTTTTGAAAAACAATCTGAGTAATAATGATTTACAATGTGTATGTCAAAGTATTTCTAAAGTTTTTGAGCAGACATGTGTGTTACTAAATCGCCAAACTCATGCGGAATATTTGATAGGTTACTCAAATAATTTATCACATTGTCACTAATTCTCTAGTCAGAAAAACTAGTAACGTACGTATCAGGTGATAATATTTTATAATTCAAGGTACCACATTTAGATAACAGCTGTATGGTTATTTGTAAAATGGTGTGGCTGAAAAAGTGATATGTAATAGACCATATACCAAACTGTCTAAATAAAATGTTTTTGCATAGATTTTGTGTAGTTGATTTTTGACTTACGACGCTTACCCATTTGCACCTCATTAGTGAGAACGGGCGTAGAGATTCCTCTGTGATATTGTTGGGATGTCGTTCGCACTCAAGCAATTGCTCATCCACCCATCCAATTACGTACACGCAAACTGGGGATGTATGAAATATGTTCGTTTCAGTAGATTGAAACTCATTCTGCTTTTAATTGAACACGAGGCGCTTAATGCCTTCATAACAAAGGGTTGGTGCGTCCACTGCCCATATAAAGTCCAGGTGTTCCCAGTGAGGTATCACGTGATCTGCTACGGTTCTCGTCAGCTTGGATCGGAGCCATGTGACGTCATTCGGGTCAGCCAGGAAGTCCTTATCGCCACTGAACAGCACGACCGGAACTTCCATCTGTTCTGGGTGGTAGAGAGGCGGGGTCGACTGAAACAGGACCAGATCACTAGACTCAACAGTAACCAGGGCGGATTTGTTTGTGGCAGGCATCAAACTAGAAAGGTCGTCATGACAACAAACCTACGGAAATACACATGAGATTAGAGTGTCATACTGAAGAAGCACCTTGTCTTACTGCTCTCATCCGACACAGGATGCTCATGATACTGACATGTATGCCAAGGTATACCAAATCCGCTGGGACTTCAAGCTGGACTCACTTGGGGCAGCCTGATTCACTCTCCATGTATGACAAGGTATACCAGATCCGCTGCGACATCAAGCTTGACTCACTCAGGGCAGCCTGATTCACTCTCCACATGTATGGCAAGGTATACCATATCCGCTGCGACATCAAGCTTGACTCACTCGGGGCAGCCTGATTCACTCTCCACATGTATGGCAAGGTATACCATATCCGCTGCGACATCAAGCTTGACTCACTTGGGGCAGCCTGATTCAATCTCCACATGTATGCCAAGGTATACCAGATCCGCTGGGACATCAAGCTTGACTCACTTGGGGCAGCCCGATTCACTCTCCACATAGAAAGGCCCAGTTCGATTCCCCACATGGGTATAATATATGAAGCCAGCTTATGGTGTATTACCAGGATATTAATATAAGCAGGTCCCTACAAAGCATGTCCCTCACCTGTCCATAGTGTTCCATGTTGGCAGCTGCCGATCCAAAGTCAAACATCATGAACTTGTCTGTATTGACACCCTGCAGGAATATATAGATACATATCTACATCTAAGGACCACTGCAAGAGGTCATTGTACTTTTGTCAATGGTGACGAATAATTATCGCAGAATAACTCATGTCCCTTTCGATATAATGAAATATTACGTTTTCAGTAACTTATCTGTGTAAGATGGATTTCACAGAAACATTTGAACGTCCATTGTTCCACGATGAAGTTGTTCCCTGTCAACAGTGTGTGGCTCACCTGGGCGAAGTGCACCATGTTCTGTACCGAGGTGCCAGCAGGGTTGTGGGCTATGTACACAGGGACCCGGACTGTAGACACAGGGTACATGGGGTCAGTGGCTGGCTGGCTACCCGTCGTATAACGCATAGCTATTACCTGCCGCAGTTAACACGGAGCGAGGTATACGCCGAAAATATGTATTGACCATTCAACATTTGATATTTCAATTATACCTTGGCACAACAAATGGCAAATGGTACAAACTATGTTGAGTAGAATATGTAGCACACAATGAATAAAGCGACATAGAATCAAAACCAATTTGTATATTTACGGACCAGTGATGTAACACAAAATGTGTCAGTTGCCACCAACAAGGAATGAATATTTGACGTGAAAGTGATGTTTATGCAAATTATCATTTGCAATATTTCAGTACCGTGTTGAGCGCCTTGAAGTCGTACCCGCCAAGCACAAACAAGACATTCTCACAGATCAGGGGAATATCGGTACAGACACCCTTCGCCAACCATGTGGTAATTTCAGTGCTGGGTAGAAACTCGCCATGTCCAAACAGCTCGAAAACAGCCTGCAATATCCACAGTCAACCGGTTAGCACTGCAGGTTAACATAGGTGTTCCTGCTGGTGGTGGTGGTTCCCCAGGTCCCGGCATGTCCAGTGTATTGTGGGGAGAATATTACATATGTATCAGTGTCTATTGTGAACAACTGTTCTTGTCCATCCTCGATAATCTCCAGCGTATACGTTCCGATAAACCTCCACGATACCCCGGATGCATCTACGGCTCGGCCCGATAATTTTATTACCTACTTTTGCTGGCTCCGCATTCTCACAGCAGCCAATCAGATAAGCCGCCGTAACAACCGAGTTTGCCAGTGTCAACACAGATAGCGGTCGCAGTCGCAAAGGTTTGTTCGCAGTGCCACTCAGATTTTGGGGAAATAATAAAGACAAATTCCCAGATCTGAAACTTTAAAAGAATATATGAAAGAACTCCTTCTACTTCTTTCAGAGTACCTCTGCATCAATTGTGTTGCCAAGTTTAAACGGTTAGATAATTTAAGACGCGAAAGTGAGTAGTGATTGGCACGCTCAACGTCCCAGCGTAGGCACCTGACTGGATAAAAGCCAGCCAAGGGAGGTAATAAAATCATCGCCCCAAGCCGTGGCCAGGGTATAGTGGAGATTTATCGGAACGTATACCCTGGAGATTATCGAGGATGGTTCTAGTCATGACTCTATGGTTACTGATATCATCCAGATTTTAACTGACAAAAAATTAATGGATTATTTTAAAAATGTTTGAACAAATATCTCCACAGAAACAGAAGGAAGCTAACCCCAATTTCCTTGGAGATCGGTGCCAAGAGTCTGATGGGGCTCTTGATGTGTCCCACTGTCGCTACTGGGGCCAGAGCGATGAAGGTCTTGACCAGCTGACCCAGGGTCTTGTTCTGACTGAAGCCCGCGAAGCCGATGAGTGTCCCCTGAGAGTGACCGACCGACATAGTGGATCTGGGGCTGCCCGGTCGTCCGTACGATGTAGTCAATCATGGCGGGCAGGTCGTACTTCGCCATCTCGTCGTAACTGAAATACACATTCCCATTTCTCATTAACCGGCAACAGTAGACCAAATAGCATAAACTACACACGTCGCACCGTCATGGTAAATGCCACCGTCGTAGATTAATCTACGTGTATGGTGTTTAATGTTCTGTTCACTGTGTTATTGTTGGTCATTGACTCACTGTGCGAACCGGAAATCAGTACTCGTGAGTGGGTCCCGGAAGTCAGTGATCATGAGTGGGTCCCGGAAGTCAGTGATCATGAGTGGGTCCCGGAAGTCAGTGATCATGAGTGGGTCCCGGAAGTCAGTGATCATCAGTGGGACCCGGAAGTCAGTGATCATCAGTGGGTCCGACAATGATTATTTTTCTTGGCTTGTCAGCACCATAACCTTGCACCTTGGATTCATCAAACAGGTTTCGTCCTGCATCACAGGACACCCAGTGACGCTACTGAGGTCTTAACTCCATTCGGAGTTGTTAGACAACCAACTCAACATACACACCTCCATTCCCAGAACTTGTTGTCCGATGGTTTCAGCGTCTTGTGAGCACGCGAGTAAACGTTTCGCGCACGTTGCCAAGCCACACGTCTGCGCCTGCGTCGGCCAGGATGTAAGCGAGGCTCTGGTTGGCAAGATTGTCAAGGAAGTTAGTGGCACTTCCCAGAAGGCCATGCTGCAGCATCACCGCCGGTCTGACTGAAACGGGAAGATATTTGCATCAGGAGCATCCTGTTATTTGTTCTGACCGAGGTATACGACAACACTGATAAACAACTTCACATGACCTACACATTAAGTTCCTGTGTTACCTGACCCCGGCGTATCTGTGTTTCCTGTCCCCTACACAATATACACGTAGACGTATTTATGTTCACTTCAACCTTGACAATGCTGAGAAAACAGAGGTAACATATTTCTCGCTGGCGAAAAGGAAATAAAAACATAAGTACCACTTCAACATGTTGCTTCTCTCACTTGACTTCGAGTACTCTCACAGTGAACATCAAGACGTATCTGTGTTACCTGCCCCAACACAATACCCACGAAGACAAGTTACCTGTCACCCGGACAATACCCACGAAAACGAGTTACCTGTCCCCGGACAACGCCCACGAAGACGAGTTACCTGTCCCCGTGGTGTCGTTCCCTCTGCCGTGGGGGATCCGCTGCATGTTGAGGATGAAGCCGTCCTCTGTCGTGACGTAATGGTTCTCACACACGGAAGCCCTTGCTGGTGATCAGCTCCGTCTGGAAACAATACCAGAGCAACGTTCCCGGATGTGTGTTGTATTTCAAGAGATTTTGGAAGTCTCCATTATGTACAGCTACTTCACCACCCGCGTACTCACTTTCACTTTGATTATGGAACAGGGCGTACTGTAAATAAACTTATATGTTTGACACTATGTACTTACAGCGTTCATGTAGATCTCAGGGTCGTCCGTCAGCTGGGGGTCGAGGAGGGACTTGGTGGGTACAGGGAAGCGGCCCCACCCAGGAGGAGTGTGAATGTCGCAGCAGACAACATGGCAGACTGTCACTAAGCTCCACACTGCTACTCAATAAGGGAGCTGTTACCAATACATACAGTGTTGAAGGTGAAGCTTCATTGTGATGGTTCTGTCGCTATCTTTTCTACTATAATAAGGGAGCTGTTACCAATACATACAGTGTTGAAGGTGAAGCTTCATTGTGATGGTTCTGTCGCTATCTTTTCTACTATAATAAGGGAGCTGTTACCAATACATACAGTGTTGAAGGTGAAGCTTCATTGTGATGGTTCTGTCGCTATCTTTTCTACTATAATAAGGGGCTGTTACCAATACATACAGTGTTGAAGGTGAAGCTTCATTGTGATGGTTCTGTCGCTATCTTTTCTACTATAATAAGGGAGCTGTTACCAATACATACAGTGTTGAAGGTGAAGCTTCATTGTGATGGTTCTGTCGCTATCTTTTCTACTATAATAAGGGAGCTGTTACCAATACATACAGTGTTGAAGGTGAAGCTTCATTGTGATGGTTCTGTCGCTATCTTTTCTACTATAATAAGGGAGCTGTTACCAATACATACTGTGTTGAAGGTGAAGCTTCATTGTGATGGTTCTGTCGCTATCTTTTCTACTACTATAATAAGGGAGCTGTTACCAATACATACAGTGTTGAAGGTGAAGCTTCATTGTGATGGTTCTGTCGCTATCTTTTCTACTATAATAAGGGAGCTGTTACCAATACATACAGTGTTGAAGGTGAAGCTTCATTGTGATGGTTCTGTCGCTATCTTTTCTACTATAATAAGGGAGCTGTTACCAATACATACAGTGTTGAAGGTGAAGCTTCATTGTGATGGTTCTGTCGCTATCTTTTCTACTATAATAAGGGAGCTGTTACCAATACATACAGTGTTGAAGGTGAAGCTTCATTGTGATGGTTCTGTCGCTATCTTTTCTACTATAATAAGGAGCTGTTACCAATACATACAGTGTTGAAGGTGAAGCTTCATTGTGATGGTTCTGTCGCTATCTTTTCTACTATAATAAGGGAGCTGTTACCAATACATACTGTGTTGAAGGTGAAGCTTCATTGTGATGGTTCTGTCGCTATCTTTTCTACTATAATAAGGTGAGCTGGGCTGTTACCAATACATACAGTGTTGAAGGTGAAGCTTCATTGTGATGGTTCTGTCGCTATCTTTTCTACTATAATAAGGGAGCTGTTACCAATACATACAGTGTTGAAGGTGAAGCTTCATTGTGATGGTTCTGTCGCTATCTTTTCTACTATAATAAGGGGCTGTTACCAATACATACTGTGTTGAAGGTGAAGCTTCATTGTGATGGTTCTGTCGCTATCTTTTCTACTATAATAAGGGGGCTGTTACCAATACATACAGTGTTGAAGGTGAAGCTTCATTGTGATGGTTCTGTCGCTATCTTTTCTACTATAATAAGGGAGCTGTTACCAATACATACTGTGTTGAAGGTGAAGCTTCATTGTGATGGTTCTGTCGCTATCTTTTCTACTATAATAAGGGAGCTGTTACCAATACATACAGTGTTGAAGGTGAAGCTTCATTGTGATGGTTCTGTCGCTATCTTTTCTACTATAATAAGGGAGCTGTTACCAATACATACTGTGTTGAAGGTGAAGCTTCATTGTGATGGTTCTGTCGCTATCTTTTCTACTATAATAAGATGCGATTGTCTTGTGGGGTATAAGTCTGTGTCAGTGTCCAATTGTGAGGTCTGAGGATGAGATGCGATTGTCTTGTGGGGTATAGGTCTGTGTCAGTGTCCAATAGTAAGGTCTGAGGATGAGATGCGATTGTCTTGTGGGGTATAGGTCTGTGTCAGTGTCCAATAGTAAGGTCTGAGGATGAGATGCGATTGCCTTGTGGGGTATAGGTCTGTGTTAGTGTCCAATAGTGAGGTCTGAGGTTGGTCTTGAGTATTTATCTTCCTCAGTATTTCATAAACACGTCTGTAGGATAGGGCAAACCAGTGACATTCCACATGTTGACGGCTATGTCCAACAGTTACTGAGGCACTGTAATGGCTGCCTTGAAAGGCGGCGAAGCTGTAATGTTCTAGTAACATGAAGCAATTGTACCCACTGTACAATATTGTCACCCTCCCCGGCCCCATCCCCACATCAACCTGGTTCTGTAATCAAGAGTCCGAATCCCACTTGGCCCTCATTGCGTTCCAGCTTTGTCAGAACAACATACCCTCTAGTTGGATTCAACAAAATATTAACAGTCTAGGATGTGTATAGATTCGGGCTTTCCTGCAAATATAAAGATGAAATTTATGACTGAAATATTGTTCTTCGCTGTATTCACTGCCCACCAACCTGTCCATAATGGGCCATGTTAGCAGCTGCCGAGCCGTAGTCGTACTTCACAAACTGGTCGGTGTTGACCTCCTGGAAAGGAACCATAGCAACTCAGAGACTGATCGTTGGTGTTTCAGTGAATCTGGATCCAATGTTGACATATTTATACCTCTGCATCTGTGACATTGTACGACAGCAGTGATGCATGAGCTTCATCAACAAAACGTGTATAAAGTGATGTGTGAGTGTCATCAACAAAACGTGTATAAAGTGATGTGTGAGTGTCATCAACAAAACGTGTATAAAGTGATGTGTGAGTGTCATCAACAAAACGTGTATAAAGTGATGTGTGAGTGTCATCAACAAAACGTGTATAAAGTGATGTGTGAGTGTCATCAACAAAACGTGTATAAAGTGATGTGTGAGTGTCATCAAGAAAACGTGTATAAAGTGATGTGAGAGCGTCATCAAGAAAACGTGTATAAAGTGATGTGAGAGCGTCATCAAGAAAACGTGTATAAAGTGTGATGTGTGAGCGTCATCAACAAAACGTGTATAAAGTGATGTGTGAGCGTCATCAAGAAAACGTGTATAAAGCGATGTGAGAGCGTCATCAAGAAAACGTGTATAAAGTGATGTGTGAGCATCATCAAGAAAACGTGTATAAAGCGATGTGAGAGCGTCATCAAGAAAACGTGTATAAAGTGATGTGTGAGCGTCATCAAGAAAACGTGTATAAAGCGATGTGAGCGTCATCAAGAAAACGTGTATAAAGTGATGTGTGAGCGTCATCAAGAAAACGTGTATAAAGCGATGTGAGAGCGTCGTCAAGAAAACGTGTATAAAGTGATGTGTGAGTGTCATCAAGAAAACGTGTATAAAGCGATGTGTGAGAGCGTCATCAAGAAAACGTGTATAAAGTGATGTGTGAGCGTCATCAAGAAAACGTGTATAAAGTGATGTGTGAGTGTCATCAAGAAAACGTGTATAAAGTGATGAGAGCGTCATCAAGAAAACGTGTATAAAGCGATGTGTGAGCGTCATCAAGAAAACGTGTATAAAAGCGATGTGTGAGCGCCATCAAGAAAACGTGTATAAAGCGATGTGAGAGCCGTCATCAAGAAAACGTGTATAAAGTGATGTGTGAGTGTCATCAAGAAAACGTGTATAAAGTGATGTGTGAGCGTCATCAAGAAAACGTGTATAAAGTGATGTGAGAGCGTCATCAAGAAAACGTGTATAAAGTGATGTGTGAGCGTCATCAAGAAAACGTGTATAAAGCGATGTGTGAGCGTCATCAACAAAACGTGTATAAAGTGATGTGTGAGCGTCATCAAGAAAACGTGTATAAAGCGATGCGTGAGCGTCATCAACAAAACGAGAGCCGTCATCAAGAAAACGTGTATAAAGTGATGTGTGAGCGTCATCAACAAAAACGTGTATAAAGTGATGTGTGAGTGTCATCAACAAAACGTGTATAAAGTGATGTGTGAGCGTCATCAACAAAACGTGTATAAAGTGATGTGTGAGCGTCATCAAGAAAACGTGTATAAAGCGATGTGAGAGCGTCATCAAGAAAACGTATAAAGTGATGTGTGAGCGTCATCAACAAAACGTGTATAAAGTGATGTGTGAGCGTCATCAACAAAACGTGTATAAAGTGATGTGTGAGCGTCATCAAGAAAACGTGTATAAAGCGATGTGAGAGCGTCATCAAGAAAACGTGTATAAAGCGATGTGAGAGCGTCATCAAGAAAACGTGTATAAAGTGATGTGTGAGCGTCATCAACAAAACGTGTATAAAGTGATGTGTGAGCGTCATCAAGAAAACGTGTATAAAGCGATGTGATGTGAGCGTCATCAAGAAAACGTGTATAAAGCGATGTGAGAGCGTCATCAAGAAAACGTGTATAAAGTGATGTGTGAGCGTCATCAACAAAACGTGTATAAAGTGATGTGTGAGCGTCATCAACAAAACGTGTATAAAGTGATGTGTGAGCGTCATCAACAAAACGTGTATAAAGTGATGTGAGAGCGTCATCAAGAAAACGTGTATAAAGTGATGTGTGAGCGTCATCAACAAAACGTGTATAAAGTGATGTGTGAGCGTCATCAAGAAAACGTGTATAAAGTGATGTGTGAGCGTCATCAAGAAAACGTGTATAAAGTGATGTGTGAGTGTCATCAACAAAACGTGTATAAAGCGATGTGAGAGCGTCATCAAGAATACGAGTATACAGCACCCCTCATACATGTTGCCAGAAAAAAATGTATACATGTATTTGAAATTGTTATTTCTTCTTATTTTACTACAGGTGAAATGACGATCATAAGATCGTCCCAAAAGTGTGACAGCCTACCTTTCAAATGTATACCACCTACCTGTCCAAAATATACCACCTCACTGTCCAAAGTCTACTACTTACCTGTCCAAAGTCTACTACTTACCTGCCTGTCCAAAGTGTACAACTTACCTGTGCAAAGTGCATAATGTTCTGCACAGAGGTGCCGGAGGGTGTGTGGGCCACGTACACTGGCACGCGACTCTGAAACACAAACCGGGTTGACAGTAACTGTAACTACATTTTGACCAGTTGGGTACAGCTTCGCTTGTCACGTCAAGGACCTGGATCCATCCTAAAAGTGAGGAACATGTCATTCCTCGGTTTGCCCTGATACCGGAATCTGCTCAATCGTTCTCACCCACTTGTCTTCACATTTGTGTGCACGTGTCCCCTGTACCCATCTGGCGTACCTTGTTTACTTCTGCGAAGTCGAAGCCGCTGATGACGAAGAAGAAGTCCTCACAGAGGACGGGCAGACCCTTGCAGACATCCTTCGCTAACCACTTCGTCAGGTTGCTGCTGCTGCTGAACTCGCCGTGGCCGAATCGCCGTGGCCATGGCGAAAAGATCAAACAGCTGCAACATGGAGTTGATACTTGTCTGACGAACAGAAATAAGGGAACATATCGTCACACGGATGAAACTCACAGAGGATGATATTTCTGCAGTCTGAAACTGATGACGAACACTGCGCATTGTCACGTCACACAAACGAAGTTATCAGATTATCAATCGTCACACAAACGTATATTCCCTTAAATCTCCCGGATCTTGTAGGAATCGGACCAGATTTCACCAACAATAAATCATACTTAAATTTAGATTTCGATGAAACAAATGGGAATCTGGTTCCCTTTTCCATGTAACAATGGACGATCATACACGTAAATGGTGCTTAGTTGGAATTACCTTAAATTCTTTAGACAATGGTGCGAATAATCTGAGCGGGCTCTTGATGTGTCCCACTGTCGCTACTGGGGCCAGAGCGATGAAGGTTTTGACCAGCCGACCCAGAGTCTTGTTCTGACTGAAGCCCGCGAAGCCGATAAGTGTCCCCTGAGAGTGACCGACATAGTGGATCTGGGGCTGCCCGGTCGTCCGTACGATGTAGTCAATCATGGCGGGCAGGTCGTACTTCGCCATCTCGTCGAAGCTGAAATACAAGGAAGAAAATTCACATTATAAAACATCCCTGAGTTCTTTAGATGATCGGTCAAAGAAGTCGATGAAGGACAGTTAAACCCAAAACTACACGTGAAAAGGTATACCTCCATTCCCAGAACTTGTTGTCCGATGGTTTCAGCGTCTTGTGAGCACGTGAGTAAGTGTTTCCGCGTATGTTGCCAAGCCACACGTCATCGCCTGCGTCGGCCAGGATGAAAGCGAGGCTCTCGTTGGCTGGGTTGAGAACGAAATTATTCGAGCTTCCGAGGAGGCCATGCTGCAGGAATACAGCTGGCTTGGCTGAAAGGGATTTGACATAAAATATCTCAATTTTCTGTCAGAAGGTACGCGAGCCCCATTCCGGTTAGTGGTTGACTCCGCTTTGAACTATATTTCAGTTCTTTGACCTATATTTCAGTTCTTTGAACTTTATTTCAGTTCTTTGACCTATATTTCAGTTCTTTGACCTATATTTCAGTTCTTTGTCAGTTCTTTGAACTATATTTCAGCATTTCAGTTCTTTGACCTATATTTCAGTTCTTTGAACTATATTTCAGTTCTTTGACCTATATTTCAGTTCTTTGAACCATATTTCAGTTCTTTGACCTATATTTCAGTTCTTTGAACTATATTTCAGTTCAGTTGTTGAAATATTCGTGCACAGGTATGATGATGACAATGTCGAATTACACGAATGACAGATCACGAAGACTGTTTATCTCAGATGGACGTGAAGGCCAACGTTTGATTGTTGTTACTATTGAACCTGCATCGGAAGTATCAATATACCCAATTACTGCAATGAGTGACTGCGTGTGTTGGGACTGAGACGTTGAACAGTATTTCAGTATTGTATTCTAATACATCGTCAGTTTTCACAGTGTTCAATAGACTATGTCCTCTGTGAATACATACGACCACACCAATGACACGTGTCTCGATCTGTACTCGCGGTTAATGCGGGAACATACCGTGTGCAAACCCGTGATGATCACATGACTTCGACTGTATGTTGACTAGGGAAGGTAATATGTTCATATGAAAGTGAACCACGGAATACTGTGTGGTAATGGCCGAGTTGAGTCAGTTGAAGCTAGTGCTCTTTTTGGGCGGGCAAGTTGTTGGAGGTAGCTATTAACTCAGTCTGGTGCTTGAGCAGGCACGCTTACACAATGTACATCAAGACGCGTCATCCACACAACGCCCACGAAGACGTATCTGTGTTACCTGTCCCGCGGACAACGCCCACGAACACGTATCCGTGTTACCTTTCCCCCGGACAACGCCCACGAACACGTATCCGTGTTACCTGTCCCCCGGACAACGCCCACGAAGACGAGTTACCTGTCCCCGGGGTGTCGTTCCCCCTGCCGTGGGGGATCCGCTGCATGTTGAGGATGAAGCCGTCCTCTGTCGTGACGTAATGGTTCTCACACGGGAAGCCCTTGCTGGTGATCAGCTCCGTCTGGAAACAACGAGTCGATTGCGACACTTTAAGTGGGATTCCTACTAAGTGTTTATATCTTTTCGTAATTTTGTAGAGTAAATATTTCCCGGGCGTGGGCGGCTGGCGACTCATCTCTTGCGCCAGTTACGACATATAATTCAAAATGTCCTCGAATCTGCTGTCCTTTCTTGACAACTGACATTGTTTTAAATATTCTTTCATTCGCGCAAACCTGGTATCATGACTATCTGATAGTAAGTCACTAACACATGCTCATTTTCTAGCAGAGACTTCTTATGAATTTGGAAATAGTTTTGTCGTTTAAGTAACACACGGGATCATTTCTAATGCACTCTGATCCTACCGAACTGATCCCACCAGCATGCGATGACAGTTCTGTATGTGCGTGTGTGTGCAAGTGTTATGGAGATTAGACTTACAGTGTTCATGTAGATCTCGGGGTCGGGCGCCAGGGTGTAGACCGACTCTGCCCCAACCAACACGGCTACCAGATACACACCTACAATAAGAACAATGCTCATGGCTGCTGTTACAGAAGTGGAATGCTGTCACTTCTTACACCAATCTACTAACATGTTTAGAATGTCGGTTATAAAACAGATGCCGCTATCCTTATCGTTTCCTTAGTATATAGATCAAGGCCAAAGAGGACAACAGCAGAAACCTGATTTCCTAAATATACCAGGAAACCAGATTACCAGGTACATGATGAATTATAAACTACAATTGCGTCTGGAAATTGTAAATTACCTTATTAAATTGAAGATATGTTAGTGTTAAATAAGATTGGGTTTTGTCATTCGTAGTCATTATAGCTTTTCCATTGATGACCTTTCCCTGATTTTGTGAACTGATAAGGCTTGCTGATGTTCGTGGTTAAATCTGCTTCTGATTCTAGCCATGTATGGGGTCGATTAACCCACACTCAACGTTATTGTGACATACTAAAATCGAATTGGTCAAAATAATTTGCTACCGTGGAATACAATCATATGGTAAGGCCAAAGTTTGATGTCACTGAGCAAACAGTCCAAACGAAGAGCACTGGCGTCTCGTACTAACATGACTGAGGCCACTAAACGTTGAGGCATAAACTGGAACTCAAAAGGATAAACGTCGTTCAAGCAACGACGTCGTCATGCAGTAGGCGACACACCTGGGGATCTTGTAGACCAGGGTAGTACATTAACATTGCTCTGAGACAGGATCGTGACTTATCAGTGAATGACCCTTTTTTGACTGACGTCCTGTTCAAGACAGTTCCCTTACCGCTGACAACGTCGAGACTGACGTTTAGCCTGCGGTTCGAATTCATGCGTCTTGGTGTCTGGTTGACTTGACTATGACATGGCTTTATTATCAAATGGAGAGTGTTATCGGTGAAATAAGGCACCAAAGGCTCGCATAATACAATTTTTAGTCCTAATATATGATATTAATGATACGGAAACACACTCGGTTAACACCCTCTATGTCCTGTTGGTGCGACCGCCATGAGGTGTACCTGCAGGCTTTGGACTGGCGTGGTACCGGGTTTCAGCGTTCCCACGGCTCGCCATCAGTCCTTTACTATTTAGGTGTGTCATGGTAAAATATTGTCTGCACTTTAGAGTGGCAATGATATGTAATTGGGTATCTATTTAAACATTTGAAGCTTTTTCTCGAATATTCGATGTTTCTTGAAAACCTACAACAAAACAAGCAACATTATCCTCACATCAAGAAATAGAAAGGTTCGTAGGTCAATACATGCATTGCTTCAACTTCCGAACACTAAGCATGCATTCGGGTACACTAACGTACGGATACTGAGGCATTACAATGTGAGGATGTGGGGCCTGCAAGCCTCGTGAGGCGCTACTTCCGGTACTTAGCTGTTTTGCGCGCGCCAACTGGCGATATGCGAGGCGGCGCCCAGCTTACTTCCGGTACCAGATTTCCGGTGACAAGCTTATAGTCAAGAACCAATACTGGTTCAAATTGCGCGATCGCCAAATATGACTTTACTAGACCGGACCAAGTGAACACCAATGCTTGGCTGTCACAGCTGTTGACAGTCGTAATACTTTGGGGATGGTTAGATCGGAAATTTGTTATTCCTGCAAGGATCATCGGTTCTTTACTGTCAGCCATGAGACCATTCGAAAAGGTCTGCAAGGTTGTTTATCACCGGAAGTACTAAGGTCTCGCGAAGTGCCGTGACCTACTTCCGGGCGATGTACTGACAACAGATAATCCGTCGGAGCTGTGAGGTAGTACACAAAATCGTACACTTCCGGCGATGTACATACAGTGACTTCGAGGTAGTACACAAAACGTACACACATACAGTGACTTCGTTTTTTATTGGTCTCAGATGTGGTTTGATCAACTAAAAACAATCCGTTTGATTTCATCATAACAGAGAACCGGGGCTTCCAGAGCCAAAATGAAGTCCAAATGTTCCCAGTGAGGGATCACGTGATCTCCCACAATGTTCTTCAGCTGAGACCGGATCCACGTGACATCTTCCGGGTCTGCCAGGAAGTCTTTGCCCCCGCTGAACAACACCACGGGCACGTCCATCTCATCCGGGCGGTAGTTAGGAGGCGTGGCCTGGAAGAGATGTCATTAGCCTGTAGAAATCTGTGTTAATAGTGAGGTCTGAGGTCGAGATGTCACCATCGTGTAGTGTCTGTGTCAGTGTCCAACAGTGTGGTCTGAGGTCAAGATGTTACTATCGTGTAGTGTCTGTGTCAGTGTCCAACAGTGTGGTCTGAGGTCGAGATGTTACTATCGTGTAGTATCTGTGTCAGTGTCCAACAGTGTGGTCTGAGGTCGAGATGTCACTATCGTGTAGTGCCTGTGTCAGTGTCCAACAGTGTGGTCTGAGGTCAAGATGTTACTATCGTGTAGTGTCTGTGTCAGTGTCCAATAGTCTGGTCTGAGGTCGAGATGTTACTATCGTGTAGTATCTGTGTCAGTGTCCAACAGTGTGGTCTGAGGTCGAGATGTTACTATCGTGTAGTGTCTGTGTCAGTGTCCAATAGTGTGGTCTGAGGTCGAGATGTTACTATCGTGTAGTGTCTGCGTCAGTGTCCAACAGTGTGGTCTGAGGTCGAGATGTTACTATCGTGTAGTGTCTGAGTCAGTGTCCAATAGTGTGGTCTGAGGTCGAGATGTTACTATCGTGTAGTGTCTGCGTCAGTGTCCAACAGTGTGGTCTGAGGTCGAGATGTTACTATCGTGTAGTGTCTGTGCCAGTGTCCAATAGTGTGGTCTGAGGTCGAGATGTCACCATCGTGTAGTGTCTGTGCCAGTGTCCAATAGTGTGGTCTGAGGTCGAGATGTCACCATCGTGTAGTGTCTGTGCCAGTGTCCAATAGTGTGGTCTGAGGTCGAGATGTTACTATCGTGTAGTGTCTGCGTCAGTGTCCAACAGTGTGGTCTGAGGTCAAGATGTTACTATCGTGTAGTGTCTGTGTCACATGGCGTCACACAGCGGAAACGTAGCACCGGCCTCCAGGTACTGTGGTGCAGGGTCCTGGTTTGCTGGACTCACCTGTCCGTAGTGGGCCGTGTTGGCCGCCGCAGACCCGAAGTCGAACATCAGGAACTTGTCGGAGTTGACACCCTGCAGAGAAAAGTGACAGATTGGTGATATACCGTTGTAGTTCATGTTTATATACGAGTGCCTCACCTGACAATGTCTTCATGTCTCACCTGACAATGTCTTCATGTCTCACCTGACAAGGTCTTCATGTCTCACCTGACTATGTCTTTATGTCTCACCTGACAAGGTCTTCATGTCTCACCTGACAAGGTCTTCATGTCTCACCTGACAATGTCTTTATGTCTCACCTGACAAGGTCTTCATGTCTCACCTGACAATGTCTTTATGTCTCACCTGACAAGGTCTTCATATCTCACCTAACAATGTCTTTACGTCTCACCTGTCCGAAGTGTATGATGTTCTGAGTGGAGGTGCCCGCCGGGGTGTGCGCCATGTAGACGGGAACTCGAGACTGTAAACATGATACCTGGCCATTGTTTACATGGTAGATACACCACCGTGTACTTTGGTATTATCCCCTATCATATCATCTTACCATCCTTGTAGTAAAAATGTTACCTAGCTTAGAAATGTGATCAATGTTTGGTAGTTACCTGGTTGTTAATTGTCATGGCAGAGTGGTGATTAGGGAGGTTATGAAGGTGACTATTATTATACTCGAGTATGTATCTATTAGAGTGAGTGAGTGAGTAGGAGAGGGGGGAATGTGTGTTTCACGTCGCAATGAACAATATGCCAGTTATTTTAGATCAACATACTGTACAAGAAAAGTCCGAAATAATCGCAAACCGCGATTCCAACCCACAAGCGCATGTTGCTTCAGTGGGACGTAACTCTACACACAGAATTGTAACTGGGCCACCCGCTCCCTGTATCAGCCAGAATGGATATGATTCCTGGATAACCTGGTGATATAGTCCATGATCTCCAGAAATAGTTTATAGCCTGATCGACTAACACGTACGGAATTGAGTGAGCGGTAGTCGAAGCCGTTCAGAACAAAGAACAGACTCTCGCAGAGGACAGACGCGTCATTACACACGGTCCTCGCCAGCCATTTGGTGGTATTCTTACTCGGCAGCAGCTCTCCATGGCCAAACAACGCAAACGCTCGCTGAAAGATAACCAGTTATACAATTTATATATAAACGATCAGCCAGGTAGGGATTTCGTTCCAGATGTAATGTTGTTCCAGTTAGCACTTTAAGCAATACAGATATAAAACATATCACTTCAAGCCAAAACATTCCCTGTAGGCCAACAACACTGGCCAGTACATTCAGCATGCCCAGTTAAAGAAGTATTTATACTTTTCGTAAAACCCATGGATAAACTAGTTCGGGAACAGATTACTTTTCCACAGAAATACCAAATGGTATAAGACCCTATCAACTCGGGGAGTTAGCTCGCCTTAAGCTCCTTGGAGAACGGTGCCAAGAGTCTGATGGGGCTCTTGATGTGTCCGACTGTCGCTACTGGGGCCAGAGCGATGAAGGTCTTGACCAGCCGACCCAGAGTCTTGTTCTGACTGAAGCCCGCGAAGCCGATAAGTGTCCCCTGAGAGTGACCGACATAGTGGATCTGGGGCTGCCCGGTCGTCCGTACGATGTAGTCAATCATGGCGGGCAGGTCGTACTTCGCCATCTCGTCATAACTGCGGAAACGAAGTACATGTATGTCTGTGTGCGGTCAGCGTACGTGTGTGGTTCGCGTGGACCGTGATCATTAACTTCATCAGTATATATTTTCAGTTTGGACGTCTGTATATACACACCTCCATTCCCAAAACTTGTTGTCCGATGGTTTCAGCGTCTTGTGAGCACGTGAGTAAGTGTTTCCCCGAGCGTTGCCAAGCCACACGTCAGCGCCTGCGTCGGCCAGGATGAAAGCGAGGCTCTCGTTGGCGAGATTCACCAGAAAGTTAGGTGAGCTACCCAGAAGACCATGTTGTAGCATCACAACACGCTTGGCTTTAAAAATAAATCGAGAGATTTCACCCTGATCACTGGATATACATGTATGTATGTTCTGTGAGTATGTACTACTCTTCACTGACTTTTCATTTAGTTTGTATACGATATGTATGATAACATCTCCCCTATCAACTATCAGTATGTACCAGTATCCGAGGGACCGACCAGTTGATATTCTTAAATTGTGTTGCTTTTTATAAAGAATATGATGAAACAGATTGTATGTTTTTTCCGCAAGTGTTCCGTGGTTCAGATATCCGGAAATTCGTTTATGCGACAATTTCAAGAAAACCGCAAGTGTCCGGATAAACGGGGCACGACTGTATTCTGTATGAGGTTTACCGATAAGGACGATGTTACCATGATAGGGAGCTTCCCGACGGACCTACACTGCTGGCATTCTCTACCAAACCATCGCATTCGTGTTCAACTTTATCCAGAAACAGTATTCATCACAATGTTTATGCCTGAAACACATTTTCCATGAACCTCAGAAAACTTGAAAAGGAAATACATGAGTACCACTTCAGTATATTGGTTTTCTCACTTGACTTCGAGTACTCACACAATGAACATCAAGACGTATCCTACGTACAGTATCTGTGTTACCTGTCCCCCACATAATACACACAGACGGGTTACCTGTCCCCAGGGTGTCGTTCCCCCTGCCGTGGGGGATTCGCTGCATGTTGAGGATGAAGCCGTCCTCTGTCGTGACGTAATGGTTCTCACACGGGAAGCCCTTGCTAGTGATCAGCTCCGTCTGGAAACAACGAGGCGGTTCCGGAAGTCGGGGGAACATAGAGGGTATAAATATTAGATACAAATAACCATCAAAACGTATAACTATTGTATCATCTGACAAATGGCCATATTTCCACTGTTTTGATTCAGCTTCGCATTCCTACTGACGACGTTAATTAACCTTCGACGTCAATGCTCCCCTACTGTGCACGAAAACCTACCTGATAAGCACCATATAGCTGTCCCAGGAGCATCGTAGCTGTATATCAGGGCTAAACATGCAGTGTCGTTTTAATGCAATCATACAGGTCTAAGACGTTGCAATTTTCATAAATTTCACAGACAGCGTAAAATAAAATCAGGTCAAATTTGGGATTCCAACCCACAGCGATCTGAATTTCCTAAGGGAGGTAACTCTGCACTGCGAAGTGTTGGCCTCATCCACCTGGGGCACCTTTGCACTTACTGTGTGACCTAGCCTCGATTCTGTAGTAGGTCAGCCGGGAAATACATGTCTATTTCAATTGTGCTTGGACACAGTTTTTTACTTACGGCATCCATATACACTTCCGGGTCGACGTGCACCCGGAAGTGCGGTACATTGATAGGGACATGCTGCGAGGAAACAGTGCGGAGGACAGTTGCCAAGGTGACGAGACTCAGCAACATCATGGATGTTCTCCTGAGTCCAGTCAGATCCACGTTGTGACCCACGTGTCGCCTCATATCAGTCCGAGCACAGGTGTTCCGTAAAAACAGAAGGTTGTTGTGTTGTTCCTTCTCACGTTATCTGTGTTGCTTACAACCCAGATTGTCAACAGGCACCATTGTAAATACCACGGGGTCCGAGGTAAACCTTTCCATCAAACACATGGCTTTATCGAAATATATATTTCTACTGAGGGGTCTTGACAAACACTTTAAATGATAAAGTCGAATGAGGTTCCTCTTTAGCCAACAAGATCTGCATAATTTCAGCATTTGACTAAGTCGGAACCTGCCCAAAGCGTACAAGAAGATATATTTGGTGCCTGACTCAGAGGGTGTGGGTTCGAATCCCGAATGGGACCCCACTTAAAAAGTACTAGATCTGTATTTTACTAAGAAAGTGTAATCCCAAATATAACATATGTTACATTCGATCACTTTCTAAAATGGAATTGTGTATTTCAAAGAAGATCAAGCAGCTATGTCAGCATGCATGGCAGCGTTTACATTCATATTGCCAGAGGAAGGAGCTTTAGCGGTCTAACACATGGGGCACGAGCGTGAGTGGCTTTCCGGTTGAATAACCGAAGTGAACACCTAGTGTCATCACTATTTGATAGTGATTCATAAACACATGCTATATCATCGTATCTCATGATGTCAATCACTGGATTGTCTGGTCCAGATTTGATTTGTTTACAGAACGCCATCATACAGCTGTAATACGTTAAACAAACAAACAAACACGAGCTTATATATGATACAGACGGAACTGTATTACAATCGGCTCTGCTGTTGGCAGGGATTTCTTATGGCTGTAGAACTGGGTTTGTTGCTTGCATTTACAGATTTGGTAGTCATTTGAAAGAAATGTGACACCAAGGGACTACCCCCACATTAGGCTATTAGGTGTACGGAATTCTAACAGTAATATGACATATTTACGATCAACCAAGTATACCTTACGTGCCCAGACTGACTGTTCACAACTACACAGTATTTAGAACAGAATGCCGTTTTATTTGCAGCAGGTGGGAGATCGATGCGTTGAGATGTGTTCTTTTTCTTTCACGGAATGGTGAGCGAGTAGTTTTGTTAACGCCGTATTTGAGTACTTTTACTGGTTTCAAACACATACTTTCTAAACCGAATAGGGGTCAATGTACTAAGCAGACGTTGATCCTTCGTCTGAAGGATCAACTAAATGTGATAAATGACAGAGATGGAACGCTTTCGGAACTAAATCCCAACGCCCACACACACCCGAAACTCCCAACTTTGGTAGGGAGTCATTTCTTAGTTTGATGTGTTGAAAGGTCGTCAAATGAACTAATATTATTTTTGCCTTTCATTAACCAGTTTTACGTAAGCTCTCTTGCTTGAATGATGTGTTTGTGATCAACGAGATGAACGGCTAGGGGCTATTGTTTAGAGGAATGGAGCCTGAACAGCGTCCAGGTGATGTGAAACTGGGGACACCTCATGGTGTCGTGTAGTGTTTCTTGATTGGTTCAGATACGCTCGTGATTTTCCAGAGGGGCGTAGATGTCTCTGGGCCCGTCGTAACCAACGTTAACGTAAGACAGCGTGAAAGTATTTGGGACTTAACTGACATAGGGCGGGATCGCCAAGACTTCCAGAACGCCACTGCATCATTTTCCATGGAAGGGCCACTTAACAGTACCACCAAGACAAAATACTGGCGTCAACAGGGCTGCGGGTCAAGGTGGCCCACGTTTGTCCGTCAACACGATAACGCTAGTATCCATCGTGCATATATTAACACTGGTTACTTTCAGAATTGGTCTCCAGCAACCCATGCTCGTGAGAGAGATGACAAATGTCAAACAGGGTCTGGTCCAGACTCGATTATTTACACGTCGCCATGATGGAGCTGGAAATTGCCGAGTCCTAATGGTCGACAGCTTTTTCATCACCATAACTAAGAGTATTATTTCTCAGAAAATATCATTCTGTAATTTCTGGTTTTTATCTCGATGAGCAGCTGTTGTCTGTAAGTGAAACGACTATCATTTTCGAGGAAGCTATTTAGATTGCAGACTTTTCAGAAGACTTGGATCTTGACATGGATGCTGATTTTGTTGTAAATGAAGACATATCAGTCACGGGAGTTAAATTAAACTCTTTTAACTCGGTTTGCTAGTTGTCAGCTTTGTTCTGTTATATACTGGTTTCTCTGGTAAGAATGAACTTGGGTATTTCCTTGCACCTAAAGAAGGTACACTGTTTCCACTGCCTTTGAACCAAGTGTCGAATACCTGCCGAGTCTGTGTTCAGCATGATCTATCTGCTTCATCTGTCAACATACATGGTTGAAAACCAATCTGTTCTTGACTGCTACCGTTCATGGACACGGTTGTTTCTCAGGAAACTGTTGTTCGTGTCCCACAGACAGATTTAGCTTCTCAAAGTGGAAAATTGTATAGTCTTTGAGAATTTTTGACAATGTTCGAAAATAACACGATTGTATCAATAAAAGACAGAACGTGATGTACACACAACCAAAGAAGACCGGGATATTTGGTAAAGACGTGTTTTTGGTGACTTGAGGTGAGGTGAGGTGAGGTAAAATTGGGTTTATCGTCGTGCTTGAGAATATTTCGCTCATATGACGACGTGCATGCGTGTGTATGTGTATGTGCGGCTGCTTGTACTAGCCCAGACTTAAGCTGGTTTTATAGTGCTAGCCCACTGAGATACCATGCCGCAGTGAAGCATGAATACCACACTCAGACACATTATACTGACTCCGAGCCGACCAGTCCTTGTACCCATTAATGCCGAGCGCCAGGCAGGGACCAACAAGTACCATATTTTAACGTCTTTTGGTATGACGGGGTCGGGGATCGAACCAGCGACCTTCCGCTCTCCCGGCGGACGTTCTAACCACTACACCACGCAGGCGGTTTTTGGTAACTTGATAGATACTAGGTCATAACTGGAGGGGGCATTGTCTGGCCTAGCTGGCTGATGTAGATCGATGGTCATGGACGTTGGCGATGACCTCTACCGATCAGCGTTTGCCCCTCACCCTGAAAAACTGCAGGCCCTAAGAACCCAGAACCATAAAAAGTTGTGGGTCCTGATCAGAATGTGTAGGCCCTATATTTTAGCTACAATATAAGTAATTCCCAGCAAACAAAAAAGATAGTAATTTCTTCATTGGGGGAATATGAAATTCCAACTTCAACTCAGAGAATCCTAGCAATCCTCTGTAAACTGTGTTCACAGTTACCTATACCCTACCTTGGGAGCAGCGTGAAGGGTACGTAGTTGGGAACAGTTCTTCTACTGGAACAAGTGGGTACAAGTCTCGCTTGGTTGATTGCCAGTCTACAAGCACCTCCAGTGGAGGAGTTTGCATAACAATCACAGGATTGTCTGATTCAGAAATCCTGCGATCAGTGTTATTATTACCCAGTGTGGTGTTAAAACAATGACACATGATGCAGTCCCCTGTTCTCTTCATATTTTCTGCTTTTCACCAGAAAATAAATAATAACTAAAGCATTAGAAAGATATTGTATATATTTTATACAAAAGATATTGGCTACATACAATTTCTATGTACATAATGTACAATGATGGCAGATAGTCTGTCAACTCATTATGAAGAAATGATAGATAAATAAGTTTATGGGATGGAATTTCTGGATGAGCACCTTGCATTAGCTAACATGTAGATACAAATGACTGTACAAGACCCATCAAACTATCTTCTATCTAGTCCCAGTACACACTCCATGGTACGACCAGCTTGGTGGTCGGCATCCCTGCATCAGTACAACATCCACATGTGGATGCAGTGGATGCAGATGATGCGGGGAACAACCAAGACAGTCAGTTCATGTGTGAGAACCAACCTCCTCTACCATTGCTGATTGATATTAATTGTACTCCCTCGGCAACATGAAACATCTTCCTACCTGGATTTGCTCAACACAAAATACTACAAATATGGGACACTGATTTCATAAAGCCTGTGCACACAAGACTGGAGCAGGAAGTGCTCTGAAGCGTCCTGAAGTGAAGACTGATGGCCACTTAGTGCATGAGTTAGGCAGTGATGTTGCCATTTGGTTTGTAGCTTCAATATGGACATGCCATGAGCTCTAGTGGAGGGAACAAGCGTACAAGGACATAGCTTTCACGGAATTACAGACAACAGCTTTCATCTGAGAAAATGGACCATTTCTGTTGTACAAGTTTATCTGCCTTGTGGCAAAATAAAGATAATCTCACATGGAACAACATTTCTCATGTCTCAGTTACTCAAAGTATATCTCAAAAGGATTGACAGACAACACCCTTTAAGAGGGATGTTAATACTGCTTAAAGTAAAAAAGTCCCACTGTCATCTAATTCAAATGGTAAATCTCCAGTAGCGACCGCAGTCCAGCCCAGTAATGACTGTATTGACCATGAGAAGCTGCATCCTTGACTGACACAAGGGTACGTCAAGCTGACATGGTTACAGGGGGTGGGGTCAGTCGAGATTCCTCTCACATACATACAACAACGGAGCTGAAGACAACGAAGCCAGTAATAACAGGGAACTAAACAACATATCTGTTACACAGAACAACATATCTGATACACAGAACAACATCTAACATCTACATACATAAACAATATGAATGGCACTTGTGAACAATAAATGAAAACATCTTGATAAAAGTTGAGGAAGAAAAAAAGAGATAAACCCAATCCTAGACTGACCAAAGCTCAAGAGGTGGAGTAGGAGAATTACTCTAGGATGTTTCCACAATACGGAGGAATATCACACATATTATGTCAACACTAATACCAAACCTTGACACAAAGAAACTGTAGAATCAGTACATAATGAAATAAGACAGCAGGTTGAGTTTGACTATAGCCAGCAACTATGTTCACATCCAAAAACTGACATGTCAGTCACAAAGTCTTATAACTTCTCATTCATTTAAAAAACCTGACAGTTCTTGAAAAAAGATCACTGATTGGTCCATGACCACCTCACTTGTTTCATCAATCTAACAAGGCCAGGACAATCTGGCACTAATGGGGAAGCTTGTGGGTATGTATTGCCATAAATGAACTTGAAAGACATCTTACATAAGGTAGTTCTCTTGTACTCCATGTCAACAGATCAGGGAAGAACAGAAAAACAGATTAACACATGATCTGTAGCAAGTCTGAGTGATATATAACACATAATCTTTAGGAAATCTGCTGAAGAAATATCATGATTTGTAACTGTCGTGATAACATGCCCTGTATCAAATCTATGTACGATATATAACACAAGATCTGCAGCAAATCTGCATGTGACATAAAACACCAAGTTAGGAGCAAATGTGTTATATAGAGCACACAATCTGTAACATGCCAGTGTGTGATACATAACACATGATATGTGGCACAACAGAGTGTAATACATCACATGTTCTGTAACGTGGTGGGATATACAGCACATGATCTGTAACATGCAAGTGTGTGATACATAACACATGATATGTGGCACAACAGTGTAATACATCACATGTGCTGTAACGCAGGGATATACAGCACACAATCTGTAACATGCAAGTGTGTGATACATAACACATGATATGTGGCACAACAGAGTGTAATACATCACATGTGCTGTAGCGTGGTGGATATACAGCACACAATCTGTAACATGCCAGTGTGTGATACATAACACATGATATGTGGCACAACAGAGTGTAATACATCACATGTTCTGTAACGTGGTGGGATATACAGCACATGATCTGTGACAAGACAGTTTCTGACATATAACAGCAGGCTTGCAGCAACAGAGTGATATATAACACAATCTGTAGGACAACAATTGTGATATCTAGCACATGATCAGGAGCATAACAGGGTGTTATATATAACTACTATGTAGCATAGCAAGGTGTGATATATATCACTACTAGTAGCATGACAGTGTGTGATATATATCACTACTAGTAGCATGACAGTGTGTGATATATATCACTACAAGTAGCATGACAGTGTGTGATATATATCACTACTAGTAGCATGACAGTGTGTGATACAGAGCACAAGACCTGCAGCACATGTGTGATACAGAGCACAAGACCTGCAGCATGACAGTGTGTGATACAGAGCACAAGACCTGCAGCACATGTGTGATACAGAGCACAAGACCTGCAGCACATGTGTGATAGATGACCGATCTGTAGCCTGTAGCACAACAAGGTGTGAGATAAGTCTATTACAACACTATGTCATATGTAACATGATCTGTAGTATAACAGATATTGGGTGATCTATAGCACTGTGTTTGTAGCAAGTCTTTGTGAGATGGCAATGGAACAGGTAGTAATCTGGAGGAGACCACATACTCAAGACCACACAGAGGTGAATGACATTATCCGGAAGGGAGCAGCATGAACACGTCCCTTGCTGGGAGCTTCCTAGGGTCTGTGATCCAGGCAGATGAGAGAAACAATGTTAGTCAGTCTTCAGATGGCTTGACATACAATACATACCATTTATACTTGGAGACAGTTGGTAAGCAAGCTTATAGGTAACATTGGCACTGAACATACTAAGAGCATGGGCGGAGGAAACATTCAGTGTATATGGGACATGAAACTCGCCTGTACTCTACTCGCATACATGAATGACAGCTTCCACCACTACACAATAAAGAGCAAGCAGACATACACACGTCAATCAAAGATACTATCACTGTCTATGTTCACCTAACACTGCATTATCACCATCTGTGAAGGCTCCCAATCAGACTGGACAAAGAACTGTGTGTCATGACACACGATATACCTGAAGTTTTTATGGCTTACAGCATGTTCCCTTGAGAATAATTTGGGTGATCCCAACTCCAAGCACAAACTGCCAACAGCTCAGAACCACAGTTACTTCAATCATATTTGTTATCATCAAAGAATTCTGTAACAAAAATCGGAGAGTCTCCATTTTTAAGATATTATCTCGTTGACCACTATCAAAATCCAAATATCTTTATCGTAACACCAAATAAAAAACTTTCTCCACTCTTTCAGTAATGAACAAAAGTCTACATTCTAAAGAAGGAATAAATATTCCATCAAATGCCATCAACTTTACACACACCCCATCAGGATTACAAATTATCACTCAAGCTGTCAACACTTTGGTCCTGAGACTCTGCCAGAGCTTCACACTGACAACATCACTATTTGTGACCTACTGGGGTGTGCCCATGCCTCAACTAGGCAGTCCACAAAAACTGAGCCCCGCTCATCAACAATAAACAAAACCAAGCATAAAATAGTTACAGCCATATTGACTGGCTACAGCAGACTAGCAACACAATTCCATAGTAAAATCAACAAGGCATGCACGGTTGGTCGGTGAGGCATGACATGTAGCTATCTACCACTTGCGACGGTAGTGCTGCACATGTCGAAGGCCAGAAGGTGACATTTTGGTCATTGGCAGAATCTATAGTAATCTGACAGACGTATACTACCTTCCTTTCTGTCACATTCAACAGCAGAGATGTGCTATCCAGAGGACACCGGATATGATGTCACTATCAACAATAGGATGTGACATCAAAATCAACAACAGAAAGTGTTGTTTCCCCTAGAAGACAGGTTCTGATGTCACAATCAAACACACGGTGTGATGTCACAATCAAACACAGGTTCTGATGTCACAATCAAACACACGGTGTGATGTTACAACAGAAGACAGAGAATGATAGCTATTGGATGGCTAATTCCAACTGAATATTCCACTATGGCTAACAAGCACTATGTTAATGATATGCTGTTTTCAAGGATGACTAGTTAGCAGCATGTACTCATGTTCAACATCAGTAAATGCAACATTAAAGCATATCAGATTACTTTGGCAAGACATACAGTATGCCCTTTCCAATTTCTTGATCAGTAACCCACTGAAAGTCAGTTAAAACCTTATCACCAATAATGGACATACTGAAAGATTACAAAATAGCCTCAAACCAGAATGGAATCTTTTGTCAATCTCTAATCATAAGGGTGTAACCAATAGTTCATGTATCAATGCCTAAAATTATTGCAAATTTATTCTTGTAGCAAAAGTTCCACCACTATGGGTCAGTTCTAACAGCTGAGAGTAGAGCACAATTGACAAGGTCTTTATATTAATGTGCATCAAGTCTCTTACCCCAGTATATTAACATTATCTTCAGTGGAAATAGTTAACTCCCAATTTTACCACTTCTAAACAAACTTATCATAGTCAAACATCAAATGGCATCCTATGGATACTGCAATCCTTCCATCACTTAAACATACCGTTACATCCCTTACAGTTGATTATTCAGACATATCAGTACATCCCTAGCAGTTCCTTATTCAAACATATTGTTACATCCCTAGCAGTCAAAATTAAAACATATTGTTACATGCCTAGCAGTTCATTATTCAAACATATTGTAACATCCCTAGCAGTTCATTATTCAAACATATTGTTACATCCCTAGCAGTTCATTATTCAAACATATTGTTACATCCCTAGTAGTTCATTATTCAGACATATTGTTACATCCCTAGCAGTTCATTATTCAAACATATTGTAACATCCCTAGCAGTTCATTATTCAAACATATTGTTACATCCCTAGCAGTTCATTATTCAAACATATTGTTACATGCCTAGCAGTTCATTATTCAAACATATTGTTACATCCCTAGCAGTTCATTATTCAGACATATCAGTACATCCCTAGCAGTTCATTATTCAAACATACTGTTACATCCCTAGCAGTCAAAATTAAAACATATTGTTACATCCCTAGCAGTTCATTATTCAAACATATTGTTACATCCCTAGCAGTTCATTATTCAAACATATTGTTACATCCCTAGCAGTTCATTATTCAAACATATTGTTACATCCCTAGTAGTTCATTATTCAAACATATTGTTACATCTCTAGCAGTCAAAATTAAAACATATTGTTACATCCCTAGCAGTTCATTATTCAAACATATTGTTACATCCCTAGCAGTTCATTATTCAAACATATTGTTACATCTCTAGCAGTCAAAATTAAAACATATTGTTACATCCCTAGTAGTTCATTATTCAAACATATTGTTACATCCCTAGCAGTTCATTATTCAAACATATTGTTACATCCCTAGCAGTTCATTATTCAAACATATTGTTACATCCCTAGCAGTTCATTATTCAAACATATTGTTACATCCCTAGTAGTTCATTATTCAAACATATTGTTACATCCCTAGCAGTTCATTATTCAAACATATTGTTACATCCCTAGTAGTTCATTATTCAAACATATTGTTACATCCCTAGCAGTTCATTATTCAAACATATTGTTACATCCCTAGTAGTTCATTATTCAAACATATTGTTACATCCCTAGCAGTTCATTATTCAAACATATTGTTACATCCCTAGCAGTTCATTATTCAAACATATTGTTACATCTCTAGCAGTCAAAATTAAAACATATTGTTACATCCCTAGCAGTTCATTATTCAAACATATTGTTACATAACTCGCAGTTCATTATTCAAACATATTGTAACATCACTAGCAGTCAAAATTAAAACATTGTTACATCTCTATCAAGTCACAAGATGACTGTAGACTCTGCAGAATCACTGTAAACATTGAAAACCATTAGAGCCAGGTGGTTCCTGGGGATTGGCATCTATCGGTCCTTGCTGGTGAGTTTATCAATCAGCTCCTGTAAAGGGGCTAGTTCCTTTCTGTCTATGAGGTTGAACTCCTGCACAAAGAAGATGAAGTGCTTGAAGGATGTGTTGAGGTGGGCCTCCTCACTCAGCTGGACCACCTCCTTGAAGTGCTGGTGGTAGATATGTGCATACACACGAAACAGGCGCTTCAGGATCGTTTTGGCAATGGACAGGAAGTTCTTTGGAAATGGCACACCTTGAATAAAAAGAAGCAATTATACTTTGTTTACAGGTAAATCATAATGATAAAATTATTAAAATCTAAATATTTTAGATATTTAAATACTTACCTTACCATAGGTCTTATGCTTATTACCTGAAGCTCCGCTTAAAAGAGATCAGACAGTCGTTGATTCGCCATTCTCTAGAATGGCTGCCTCAAGTATCGACGAGTGTACAGGAACGGAAGTGACGTGATCTCCCCTCTCTGCGCTCAAGCGTGGTCTATCCAAAAATTACTTTTACTGACCACGTCCGAAGAGCCCAGAGAAGGGAGGAGCATCAAGCGTTGGGAGGGAGTTACCGCCCTATTGTAAGGTAAGTATTTAAATATCTAAAATATTTAGATTTTAGTAAATTTTTAACTCACCTTACCATAGGTCTTATGCATATGGATTCGACAGTAGGATGGCGGTGTCGGTGTCGGGTGTCGTCCCATGAAGAAAAACAAGACCACATGCCAAGGGAAACCAAGGAAACTAACTGAAAGCAGACTGTCGCAGGAAGCGCCTGGAACAAGAAACAGATAGTGACCCAAGGAAACCCTAAGGAAAACAATACACCCAGGGCGTAAGTTATCCTAAAGACCAGAAGGTAAGGAGAAGTAGTTACCTAATGGGCTGTAGGTCGGGTGGGTTGCTGGGCAACCCTCAGTGGACCAAAAGATTGCAGACCTTCAACATCCTCGACGGCCAGATCCCGCAGGTAGTGGCTAGCGAAGACAGTAGAGGACTTCCAGGAGCATCCCTCCATGATGGCTGGAACGGTGCAGTTCCTATGGAGAGCCATGGTGGACGCCAGGGCCTTAATCTCGTGCGGGTTATTGGCTGTAGGATGAGGCAGATCTAGTGCATCGTAGGCAGCCAGGATGGTCGTACGTAGCCAGAGCGCAATAGTATTCCTATTAACTTCACCTTTTGCCGCACAGGAAAACAGGATGTACAGTCTCTTACGAGAGTGCCTCCTGGATGATGATTTGGCAATATACATCTTAAGCCCTCACAGGACAAAGCAGCTGTTCCTCAGCGTTGTGGGGTCCTAAAATGGAAGCCAATGGAGGAATGGAGAACATTCTGTCTAGTTGTCCTGGCAGCTGGTTCTTAGCCACGAAATCCCAAAGCAGTCCCAAATGAACAAGCCCATGCTGTGACTTCTCAAAATGCACCCTGGTGACATCCAAAGTGTGGATCTCGCTGACTCTAGCTGCCGTGGCCAAGGCCAAGAGAAACGCTGTCTTCCTGGAGAGGTTCTCGAATGAAGCAGTGTCTAAAGGCTCGAAAGGTGGATCTTTCAGATGCCGGAGAACAATGTTAAGGTCCCAAGGAGGAGGACGAAACTTTGCCTTCTGGTCCTCCAGCTTGAAGGCTTTGAGTACGGCAATGAGCTCCGGCACCTTGGAAATCTTTTTGTCGCACTTGACCGCCAAAACAGAGTTAAGAGCCGATAGTGTTGCCCTTGAGACGCCGGGACTTCCGAAGGAAAAGAAGGAACTCTGCTATAAACTGAGGAGAAGCTTTCAATGGGTCCTTGGACTTCTGTGCACAAAACTTCTCAAAGGAAGTCCACTTATCATCGTAGAGTGATCTAGTGGAGACTCGATGAGCACGAGCAATAACCTTGGCTACACCTGTGAAGAAGCCCTTGGCCTTCAGTGCCTTTTGCAGATGATCCAGCCATACAGATGAAATCGAGTCGGATCAGGATGCAGCTGTCGACTGCGGATGCCTGAGCAGGTGAGGCCACTCTGGTAACTGTTGCGGACTTCCTTCAGCGAGACGGCGCAGATCTGGGAACCAGGTTCTGGTTGGCCACCAAGGCGCGACCAAAAGCAGATGAATCGTCTCTGTCTGCTTAACCTTTGCTATCACTGCTGGCAGCAGAACTGGTGGTGGAAAGGCGTATGCGTCCAGACCCTCCCACGACAAGGACATGGCTTCGACTGCCCATGTCGCCGGATCTGGAACCGGAGACACGTACAACGGATTCTGTTTGTTGAACCGAGTCGCAAACAGGTCGATCAGAGGACGGCCGTGACTGTGACATAGAAGGTTGAAAGCTTCTGTTGGCGACGGCTTGCTTGGCCTTGAGAGAGCGTCTGCTAGGACATTCTTGCACCCTGGAATGTACCGGGCTCTGACTGTGATGCCATTGTTGTCCAGGAGACTGGCCAACAGGAAGGTCTGCTCCAACAACTGCTTGGACCTGGTCGTTCCCTGGTTGCGAATCAACCACACCACCGTAGAATTGTCCGACGCTATCAGAACCTTGGTGTCCTGCAGCAGAGGCGTCCAGTGTCGAACCGCTAGAATGACTGCTTGGAGCTCCAAATTGTTGATATGCCAGCCTAGGTCGGCGTCGGACCACAGCCCCGAGGTGGTCTGGTCGTTGAGGTGTGCACCCGGACCCTGAAGAGACGCGTCAACGAAAAGTTCGTGATCGTGAACAAACTCTGTCAAGGAGACTCCTACGCAGACGTTCGACTTTACAGTCCACCAGCGGAGGTAAGCGTGGAGATGCAGAGGTAGAAGGAACCTCGACTGGAGGTCGTCGGCTTGGATGTAAGACAATAGGAAGCGCTGTAACGGTCGGAGCATCAGACGACCTCTGAGCGCCAAGTCCTGGGCTGCGGTGAGGAGACCTAAGAGGGACTGCCATTACCTGAGCGTGAGCGGCTGGGACAGACCTCGACTGGCGAAACTGACAATTTTCCTCCAGCGATCCTGTGGAATCCTGACAAGGTCGCAGTGAGTCAGGAACAAGCCTCCTATAAACGTCAGTTCCTGGGACGGCTCGAGGTGGGACTTGTCTGATTTGATAATCCACCCCAGTTGTTCTAGGAGACGAATGGCAAAGTCCATCTGTTTGCAAAGCAACTGAGGGTCGAGGTGGTTCATGAGACAGTCGTCTATATAAGGGTCGAAATCGATGCCCCTGAGATGGTGAAACCGGGTGATCGGCGAGGTTATCCGAGTAAAAAAGTTTCAGAGGCCAATGCAGAAACAGGCTTCAACATCCTCTTGAGCTCTGCGTCAGTAGCCAACATCTTAGAGTCCTGCACTCGGTGAGAAGACTGTGGAGACCCGTTTAAGGGATTCATCATGAGCCGTGCCTCCATCAGCGAAATCCAGGCTATGTATCTTGTAGTCCCTTTGCGCGCGACTTAATAGTAGTATTGAGAGACAGTTTAGCAAAGTTGGCATCCAAAGAGGCCACCGCATCGGCCACCAGGTAACTGTAGGGGAACGTGGTCGTCGCGGCGAGCGGCACAAAGGAGGTGACCTTGAACGGTAGCGACTCCCACGAGTCGGCGACCTTCAACGTCTCTCCCTATCATTGGGACGTCTGGGAGAGCGAGACCTGGAATCAGACCGGCGACAGCGATGACTAGTATCAGAACTTTGCTGGAGACTTCGAGAACGATGGCGCTGTCGAGGAGACCTAGAGTGAGACCGCTTAGAATGACGGAAACGCTCGGCTTCCTGGCGTCAGGAACTCTCTTCCAATAACTGACGCTGAAGATCCTCCTCTCGAGACAACGTAGACACAGGAGCCTTCCTGGGGATATGGTAGTCTAACAACAGCGTTGGCATCAAGGGAGGCGCTTGTTGACACACCAATCCAGCAACATCAGAACTAAGTGCCACGGCCGTCGGCGCTGGCTTGTGCTTCAACTGCTGCAGGCAAAAGGAGCGTCCTTAGAAGCTTCTGTACCTCCGGATGACATAAGGCATCTGACTGAGATAAGTCCACAAAGGCATCAGACGGGCGCTGGGCATCAGCCTCCTTGGTGCAGGTGTAGACGTCTGTTCAGCTAAAGGAGAAGAGCGTCCGTCCGGCGTCCTTGGAAGAGAAGACCTGGAGCCTAACTACGAAGCAGGTGAAGACATCTTCCTCTTATGGTGCGACAATCGTTTCTTCTTGGCGGCGGTGTAAGCCTGGAAATCGGCGACCGATAACGGCGTACAAAAATGACAGCGCTCAGCAAGAGAACAGGCTACATTAGTGCAGTCCGGACACCAAGGGTGGGGATCCTTGGCAGACTTTTGCACCTTGCAGATACAGCAAAAGTGCCAGGTCATGCACACAAAGGCTGGAACACACGAAAAAAAAAGTGAAACGTAAAAACTATGTAAACACACAGAAAAAAAAAACCTTCAGAGAAAAATGGAAACACCCCTGCAGCAAGAATGGGCACAACCAAGATGGCTGCCCCAACAGATCCGAAAAAGAGCGTGAAAAACAAGCACAACTTAGGCAACAATATCAAGAAATACAAGACCAAGCATGAATATTATGGTGAAAAAGACATAAGAGAATACAAAACACCAAACATGCCAAGTGGAGCGACACTCACGACGTGGAAACACACCCCACACCGAAGTGAGAAACACGAGGCAGCCAGGTAAGTGAAGTTTGCTTTAATTATGTTCTTCACCCACACAGAGAAGAATATAGGATATAAAAAGCATACATACCTGAAACAAACAAGAACTTTAATATCTGAAAGAATCAGTAAGTAGCGAGCTAGCGAAATCAAAAACCTCTCACACACAGTACGCTTGAAGTAAAAGTGATATTTGGATAGACCGCGCTTGCAAGGGGAGATCACGTCACTTCTGTTCCTGTACACTCGTCGATACTTGAGGCAGCCATTCTAGAGAATGGCGAATCAACGACTGTCTGATCTCTTTTAAACGGAGCTTGAGGTAATATGCATAAGACCTATGGTAAGGTAAGTTAAAAATATATATAAAAAATAAAAAAATAAACAGCAGTGGCTAAAAGGTTCACCTGCAAACCTTATTGTATGGTTTTACACTATTTTAGTACTAGCCAATCAACATAATGACACAGAACACCAGATATTGGGTGCACACATTAAACCCATGTGAAGAATCAAACCCATGTAAATGAGTGAGTGAGTGACTTTAGTTTTAAGCTGCACTCAGCAATATTCCAGCTATATGGCGGCGGTCTGTAAATAATCGAGTCTGGACCAGACAATCCAGTGATCAACAGCATGTGCAACGATCTGCGCAATTGGGAACCAATGACATGTGATCAACCAAGTCAGCTAGTCTGACCACCCGATCCTGTTAGTCGCCTAACCTTAGGGTTACTGAAGATCAATATTCTAACCCGGACCTTCAAAGGTTCCCAGGTAAATGAGTTAATCTTAATGATGATTCCAATACTATTTCAGTAACATCACAGCTTGTAAGCTTATTGCAGGAGAACAGCGTCCAGTAATGCCCTCAAGCAAAGACAGTACTGACAAACAAGGAAACAGAATCAAATAATACAGTCACTGTCCGATACTGACCTATTTTCGAGGGAAAGAGTGTTTCATCATCCAGCTGGTCCTGCACCCAGGTCATCAGGTAGTCGATATACTTGGGAGCCGAGCATTTGATGGGCTTCTTGATGGTCTGTCCATCAGCCCAGTGGTACTCATACTTTGGGCCCGCAGACATGACTGAACATGACTCCTCTGAGCAGAACTCCGTGATTGTGCCATACAGCATGTTGATTTGGTTGAAGAAGTCAACAGCTGGGGATGAAGTGAATAATGTCAGATCCTGATGCTTTCGGGGACGGAAATAAATTTTTGCCAACTTTGCCACAGATCACTCATAAGGATGCTTAGGCATGTCCTTTAACATTAAAGTACACTAAGATTAGAATATTACCTTGGATCCATCATCCGACAACGTGGATGTCAATCTATCAAGACTAGATAATAAGCAGTTCAAATTTTGTAAGTTTGCCACCCGTCCTTTTCTACACTAAGACTGATCATTGCATTTTTCATTCCTGAACACTCAGACTTTTCTTGTGAATCATTTTCCATGCTCTTGTGATATCATACAATAAACACTGTCCAAAGGTCCTGTAACTCACTAGACAGTGTAAGCTTCTAGGTACTGTTACTTATCAATGCCTGCATTGGTAGAAGGCACACAATCAAAGCTGGGACAGTAGTTGGTTCCCCTTCAAAAATGCCACTGGGCACTGATTGTAACCACCAATACGTTAAACCCAGGAATTTATCTGGACAAGTCAGCCACAAGTCGTTGCAAATGTAACTAAAAATGTCCTAACTTGATTAAAATAAGTTGGGTTAGACTGGTAATTCACTGATGACTGGAACAGTAGATAAGTAAGATCCCACAACACTTAATCCACATAATTACAGTAAATGCAACTTTTAATATCTGAATTATATGTTCTTGAAAATATTCCCAATTTTGAACAAAATGACAAGTTTCCTAATTTAGTTGTGAAGAGTGCTTAGTTTGGAATCAAATATACATGCAATTCCGTTTTTCTGCATTATCATTAGGCTATTAAAGTTTTGATGTTAAATTATTACCAATTTTGACTTATGGATCAGAAGTTTGAGGATTCCATTCATCGCCGAATGGCGAAAATATACACACTAAATTCTGTAAGATAACTTGTGGATTGAGTAGAAATACTCCAAATAATTTTGTAAAATCTATCTTGGCTAGAAATTCTGGCAAAGTGTCCCATTATTTAAAAATTGTCAAGTTTTGGCTTAGATTATTAACTCAAGAAAACTACCTGATATTAAAAAAAGCTTATACTTTCCAATATAAAAGGGCAGAGAACCGTAGAGCTTGCTGGGCACTCAAGGTTAAATCATGTTATTTTCTTTCGGATTCGCAAAGGTTTGGATTCAACAGAGTGTTGGATGGGCTGATGTATTCTTAAACCAGTTTAGGCAAAGATGTGTAGACATTGAGAATCAAATATGTCATGAAAATATTCAATCTTGCTCTAAACTTGAACTGTTCTTTGCTGTAAGAGATCATTCTCAATATCATAACTGGGTTCGATTTATCGATGTAAAATTATTTCGGAATTAATATTTTAAATTTCCTTGGATCTAATCACCGTCTTCTAATTGAAACAGGCAGATATTATAGAATTCCACAAAATGAACGTGTTTGCCCATTTTGTATTATACCAGTTGTCGAATATGAATTTCACTTTTGCCTCGCGTGTCCATTTTACCTTGATCTGGCAAAAAATATATTTCTTGCCACTAAGAAACGTGATTCCTTTTTCAAAGGGATATCTGTGAAATGATCTCTTTGTTACATTAATGTACGTGTATTTAGATACAGCGCCCATGTCACAATTGTACTTCATCATGCTCTGTACTTGTATAATGGGCCGGTGGCCCCATAACTGGAATAAAAGCAACTATTAGGCTAGCCAGTGGGCTACTCACTGTTAACTGCCACCCATTCGTTGAGGTCCTCCCCCCTCAGGAAGCATGACGGCCAGACGGAGGTTACCACTTCCCAGGGTAACCGCTGCATGTTTCATCAAGTCATACTGATGAGTTCCTTCTGGGATGTTCTTCTTAGGTTTGAAAGTTTTGTTGTTTTTACTTCCACTATAAACAACAAAGAATGAACACCATGAATAAAACTGCCAAGGTGAAGTTAGCCTGATGTACAACTTCATTTGATTTAACATTACACTCCCCTGCCTCATTATCCCACCAAACAATAATACTCTCTCCCCCCAAGCAACCATACGTCATTTATTCCCATGATGTGACTAATTAGCGCGTTCATGATGTCGTATTTAGCATATTCAACTGTCACATCATTCGGCTGCGTGCAACAACAGCGACTCTGCTCAAGAAAACATGCCTGCCTCCAAAATGAAAGGTGGCACTGGTCCACTGGCTTGTAAAAGGTCTGATGGCTAGTAGGACAGGGGCTACCAAGAACCAGACAGTAGGAGCTCAAAAGGGAACAGTATACAGGACCACCAGACCCAGCAGAGGAAATAGGAAGTCACAATACACAAGGTAAGTTCGATATTGAAATCGTACGTACCAAATATTACCGTAGATAAGCCGATCTCATAGATAAGCCAACCCCCATACTCGACCCTTAAAATCACTATCAAAATGATAGGTTTCTTACATAAGCCGACCCCACGCGATGGGGTCCCAATCGCAGGCAACTCAGACCCACAAGACAAGTGGCAGTTACCATCTTGGACGTAAAATGTAAGTATGTTTGGTGAGGATAGAATCTAATAAAGTTTTAACTGACCCCTAATTGTTCCATGCATAAAACCTATCTGGCAATACACCAAAGTGCTGTCACATAATAGGTTATGATTATAAATATTTAAATTTGTAGAACAAAATCTGCAATTAAAATGACACCATGCTAGAATATATTTCTCTTGGTAAAATAATAGTTTCAGATACCATATTTTCCCGATCACTGCATCAGAATTCATCTTGTTATATTACTGGGTACGTCTTAACTAAATCACCAGTAGATCGGGGTAACGTGTGCACAGCTGATTGCTATTTCCGGTTCTGTATACGAGACAGATACACACGGTAATCTTAATCCCTGCATATAAGACAATGCCTAGCAAAACAAATTAGAACTGAAAAGGTAAATAATCTTGTCTATTGATGTTTAACTGCAAATTTGACATCTGTACTGACAAAATCGTCTTCTTTTGTTCGTTCACGTGAAGCGATATGATGTCGTTTTCTTACCAACTGACAAAAAGGTCTGACGAAAGCGTAACCCATAGATACAGTACAACCAGAAATTATTGAGAATTTAAGACTGTAATTTTTTTTTCCCTCATTCCTCACATATTAAACATGAATATTAGCAGAACATAACTCCAGATTCAAAGACAGGTGAACAGTTAGTATTTTGTCAAGTCACCATGGGCAGCAATGCAGGCTTCAATGTGGCGGGGCATACTACTGATCAAAGTAGTTAGAAAGTTGTGGTCCATGCTGTCCCAATATCGGACCACCTCTTCTTTCATTTCAGCAATATTTGTCAGATTTTTCTTATTGACACTTTTCTTCATAAGTCCCCAAACATTTTCTATTGGATTTAGGTCAGGGCTATAGCTTGGCCAATCTAATAATGTCATATTTTGGGTCCGAAACCAGGCCTGTGAATGCTTTGAGCGATGTTTTGGGTCGATGTCCTGCTGGAAAATCAAAACATTTCCATAGAACACGTGAGCAGATTTGGGTGGCATTTGAGCAGATGGAAGTAAATGTCCCTCGAGATTATCTATGTACCGCTCACTGTTCATATTCCCTTCAAATACACAGAGGGGCGTTGCCCCTAACACAGATATGCCACCCCACACATTAAATTTCGAACTGTACTGTGGGTGCTGATACAAAGGTTTTTCAGTTTGTTTGGTCCAGAATTTCAGTGTATTAGGAAACAGCCACACAGAACTTTCATCTGAGAAAATCACATTGTCCCAGTTAAAATTTCTATGCTGTAAGCACCAGTTCAACCTTCGCTCCTTTTGTTCAGGTTTCATTATCGGTAATGGAATTCCTCGACTTTTCTGCCAACCCATTGCATGCAGCTCAGTTCTAATTGTCTCCTTACAGACAGCCACAGTTCCTCTATCAATCATATCCAGCCTTAAGTTTTCTAAACTCCTTCGTTTGTTTTTAGAAACAAGAATACCAAGCCAGCTCCTGTCACTGACAGTCAATTTCCTGGGCCTACCTGCGCCTCCCTGGTGCTCAATGCCATATCCATTTGCAATATTTTTCAAAACACGATAAACAGTTGAAATCACTTTAGCTGATCTGATGTCCTTGTTATAATACTCTAAAATCAACTTCCTCTTCTCTAAATCATCCATACTGAGGATCACTGAAAATGCCGTCTGCTAGCAAGTAAACGAAGGGGGATAACTCTTCAGAAACTAATGAAAAAGGATTAACGGAGTTGTCTCTCTTGAATGAAACCAAGCACTTGATAGCTGGTCATGGTTGTTTATACTAGAAATCCAATTAAACATATTCCTAAAATTCTCAATAATTTCTGGTCATACTATAAGACAAACCCCTGCTACAGTCTGCCTTTTTTGGTCCTCAAAATTTGGCTTATCTATGGTAGTATACGGTATTTAGGAGATGTTCAAATACTCAATAACACCCGGAAATTGGAATATTCCGTGGCCAACTCAATAACACCCGAAATGATGTTTATCGACATTGTAAACACAAAAGTAAACCAAAAGGTCCACACACGTTTTTGTGTCTGCATTCATTGACATAAAGTACGGGTACAGCAGTGCAATGTCATCAGCCGTCCGTTTCGGCTGTCTCCCATGGTAGCATCTAGGACTGCTCATTTTTGACGTCATTCGGACTTTACGTCACAATATGATTTGAATGACGTCATCTCAGCTGACGACGTAACAATACAATGGTGTGAGCGATGTTTGTATGTATTAATTAATACACTGCGAATTTCCTGGAATCGAATACCATTTGATCACGTTTTTCAACCAATCAGATTTAAGAACACGGTGAGCATCTAGGACTGCTCATTTGTGACGTCATTCGGACTTTACGTCTCCCATGGTAGCATCTAGGACTGCTCATTTGTGACGTCATTCTGGCTTTACGTCACAATATGATTTGAATGACGTCATCTCAGCTGACGACGTAACAATACAATGGTGTGAGCGATGTTTGTATGTATTAATTAATACGCTGCGAATTTCCTGGAATCGAATACCATTTGATCAGGTTTTTCAACCAATCAGATTTAAGAACACGGTGACTTTTGGTTTACAATAATTTGTGCGACATTCATGACCGATGCAGTTCAGTTGCCCATAAATTGCCCAACAAACGAATCTAACATAACTCTCACACAGGCAGCAATGCTTCACGACAACACGGCCCTGTGCAGGTGGGGTCTGTAGTGAAACATTGGGTGGGTGTTGGTATCATGATACTTGGTTGCCTGCTAACTACAGCTGAGGCCAAATTCTTCTGCCCGCTTCTTTCGTATGGGAGTGTTAGTATCGTTACTGAGGTCATGTCTTCCAAGCACAGCAGAGGGACAGCTTGACCTATGATAGGGTGTGTAATTTGCATGGGGGTCTGAGGTAGGACTGTGGCTTTATTGCCCCTTCCTGCATCATCCACACTGAGCCCATTATTTCCCAAAAATCGTTGTTGTTTATCTTTACTTCCATGGCAGTCTGGCCATAATGGATTAATTAATCATAGGTAAGTTCAGATACCCCTCAAAAAGTAACTCAACCTTCCAAACAATAATTGCCTTGTGTTAGATGACATCACCTTCCAAATATTTCATTGATGGCTTTCCAAAACAGTTTGGTATACCAGAGTGGATGTGCCGACATATGGCGTCTGATTAGACATTGCTTTTGAAACAGCTGTACAGGCGGAGTGACAGTTGCTAATTTGGCAAAAGTAATGGCAATTTGTTTTAGCATCACATATTGAGTACCATGGAAACATTACAATCACAAGATCACCAGATAAAAACCATTAATATTATATTTAGAAATGGGCTATTTCTGTAGACAGGTCGAATGTACGATTATCGCATGTACACTGTTCATGTCCCTACGTAAAGCTGCATATGTCAGCACGTACATATCCGTCCGATAGTTCATAGAGCACCAGGATCATATATACATGGCTGTTCTGGTAACTTCTACACTACCAGCTAAAATGTGAGAATTTCTCTCTTCGATATATTCAAAACAAGTTTATTGTGTACAAAAGTTATTTACACATCATTTAATAACAGACCTTGTTTGCTGTCAACCAAAGAAAGAAGAGGTGCGTTTTGACATTGACACTTAGAAACCGGAAGCATTTGTCAAACTGCTACGAAACCATTTGTGTAACAAAGACACACCAAATTATACGTATACCATTCTCAGAAATTGTCATCTATATAACATAACAATACATTTCATGGTCCAGCTGCTGTCATTATTAAATGCAATCAAATAACCTGTGCAGGAGATGAGAACTCTGACTAATGTTTGTAAACAAACAAATTGAAAAGAATAGTTAGCTCAGGAAACTTACAAAAGGAAGCTCATCTTCGGATGCCACACAAAAGATTCCTTGAAGGGTAAATTAGCTGTATTCTTGGCCCTTCAAAACTATAAGTAAATTCAATACTTCTACATAAGTAAAGCAGATGATTGTTGATTTTGATGGCTATCCCTCGACTAACAATGTCACCAATATGGCGATCGAATGTTTATGCCCTAACCGGAAGGAAGTTTAGCGTCCATAAACGTTAACAATACAAAAATAGATGATTTTTCGTATTGATGCTTATTACAAATCTATCTTAACAAAACTGTAACCTTTTCTGAATAAAATAGAAAATAAAATAAAATGAAAATGTAATGCAGTTCGGTCATTTCCGGCAAGCACATGCTGGAGAACGCGGCGTAGCCATTTTGGAAAGTTCGACATTTTCAGCAGAAAGAAGCAAGACTTAAATATCATATTGTCGGTATGTCAGCTTGTATCCAGTGCATTCATACGCAAAATGCGATAGATTACATTCCATGATGTATATCTATTTTGTAGTAATTTACGTGAGCTGAAGGCTTTGGTACAGCTACAATTTTGCGATTTGCGCGTAAACGTGACAAAGAGTTGCAAGATTCGTGCCTGCTCGTGGCCATTTTAAATGATTCCTTTATGATTGCTCCATGGTGATAGGCATCAGGTTTTATGCACACTGACTTTGTGTTTGCTGGATGGATTTTTTATTCTTTATTTAGATATATTCATTATCTGTTTGTTTAAAATCGATAGAAACAAAGCTACAGTTAGTTGCTTGTGCTGCAACTCAACAATAGGATCTCTACAAACTGGGTAATCCTACATTGTTTCTGCTTTCGTTATGTGTTTCAGAGACATAACCTTCTTTTATATTGCCTTTGCCTGGTTGTTGTGTGAACAATCACCTATGTTCAACTACAGATTTAACTATGTCTTTTGTGTTGTGGCCATAATTGCACGAGTTATTAACAGTGATATTTTGTTCTCAAAGGCATGGGTTCTCACGAGGATGACGGCTTCGTTGTAAGACTGCGAGGTTTGCCATGGGCAGCTACACCTGAAGAAGTTGTCCGATTTTTTGCAGGTTTGTAATGTAAACGTTGGTCTTCAGAGCTGGCTAAATATTTGTTTCAGTAGGATTTTTTTTGTCTTGCTAGTGCTGACTGTCTACCCAAATAATATAAATTTTATCATTCCAGCCTGAAATAGTTGCTCATGCTCTGGTAACTAGTTGCCTGTTTCATCCATTATACCACTTTTACTGATTGTTGATATAACTTGTAACTAGTCTTGTTAATTACTGAATTTCAGAAAATATTCAGAGACTTTCAGACCAGAGTGAAATACTGTTAGTGTAACTTAAAATTAAACTATTTTGAGGTCAGATAAAATCCTTAACCAACTCCTGTTAGTGTTGTCATTGAAAGGTTTTGTTCTTAATATTATGAACTATACACATTTTGTTTTGTAGGGGAAGAAAACCCAGATGTTAAAGTTGGTAAGTAAAGAAAAAGGATCCAACATTTTCATCAGGAAAAAAGTTTGTCAGGTTTCCATTGATTGATGATAGTTAAATGTTTTGAGGTGAGAGAAAATGAATAGACTTGTTTTGCCAGTTCAAAATTTTGAGCAAAATCGGTCCTCCAAGCATATTTCTGCTCATGGCTGCCACTGACTCCCCATCAGTAATGTTTTAGATGCCATATAAAAGTAAAGATCCTGAAGGAAATTTAGGAGGTCATTTGAATATGCATGAAACAGAATTGTAATTTTGAAACTTCATTCCAACTGGGAGATATGTTGTCCATAACTACCTGTAGATTAGTACCATATCTATGTTGAATGTCTTCACACACTTCTTTGGGCAGGGTGTAGTGACGCAAGTTACTGTCATGGTCATTCAATATATGTTGTGACATTTTCAGTATTTGGGGCAGAAATCACAAAGTTTTAGCCACTTCAAATGGGGTGAGGAAGGATTTGTAGCTGCGTGTACATGTAACGGGGAAAATGTGTATAAATTAGGATATGACTGTTTTCCTCAACAATAACTTTGTTTTTCCTTCAATTGAAGATCCGGAAAGCTGTGGAATACGCAACGTCCACTTCACATTTTCCCGTGAAGGACGTCCCAGTGGAGAGGCATTTGTAGAGTTCATGAATGATGACGATGTAGAGCAGGCTGTCAAGAAGAACAATGAACACATGGGACAGAGATATATTGAAGGTGAGATAAGGGTACACATACAGGTAACCACCATTGTATAGCTTTCTCACAGTTTTTTTGTCATAGAAATTTATCACTTGCTGTAGTATTTGAATCTCCGGTCCCTAAAAGTTACATTACATACATGAACATGACAGTTATGACGAGACGTTTTGGAGAGAATTCCTAACTTAGAACACTGATACCTTATGGTATGAATCTGTAGTGTATGGGAAGTATCACCTCAGCATTTGTTTTCAGTATTTCGGTCTAAGAAGAGTGAGATGGACTGGGTGATCAAACGGGCAGGGCCCAACCAGCAGGCACCCACCGAGGCAGTTGTCAGGCTACGAGGGCTCCCATTTGGCTGCTCCAAAGAAGAAATTGCTCAATTTTTCACAGGTATGTCTCTTACTGTCATATACATTGCATTCAAATTTCTGTAAAGTGAATAAATAAACTTTGCAATTGTTAAAAAGTATTTTGTTAAAAAATATGAAGCTAATTTTGTAAAGTGTTTTAACCGAAGATGAAATGGGATTATGGTAAACACGTAATTGTCTGCTTGTGTAATATACAACTATGTATGTTAAATGGTGATAAGATCGATTCAGCGATGGAAAGCACTAAAATGAAGGGTAGTATTTCTTGATTGAGATGGATAATGAGGATCCATGAATAATACCATTACAACTCAGTTCATGGACAATGGATTGAAGAATGAACAAACATGTAGTGCGAACTGTTAAGGATTGTGAAGGAATGGTTTTAAGAAATGATCTTTTGGTAATGGTTTTCTACGAGACTGTTTGGAAAGTACTGGCAATTGTTGTCTTTTGACTACCATGTCAGATGCATTGTTTGGGCTTGTTTGTTTGTGACTGCCTTCATTAGTCAGTGTTTCAACTGAACTTGTGATGTCCTGGCACTGCCGGCTGCTGACAAGATTCAAGGGATGTAATTGTAAACAACACATCAAACACCATTGAGGACAAGCTGCTTTGTAAACAATTGTCCTTTCTTAAATCGATCTTATCACAACAATACTAGAAGTTATTGTCATAAATGGTATCAGATTATGGATAACAAAAATTAAAATCTGTTGTAGGTATTGTCAGCCTTTTATCTCATTGGATTTGACAGACATGATGCATTTGACAATAATTCAGCACTTCAAAGAACATAACAAATTTTTGGTTTCAGCCTTGAGAAAATTGTAATGAAGAAAAATGTTTTTGGTTATATAATTTAAAAAATCACACATTTGCATTAAATAAGTATATGAGAATCCAGATATGAAACATACTTCTGGCCAGTGACATTTTTGACAAATTGCATAAAGTTGATTGAAACTTTTGAAACCACTTCCAAATGGCTGGGTATCCTATTACTGAACATGACAAACGTTAAGCAGCAAAACAGTTTGACAAATGAAAGATAATTTTTCTCTCAGTACTCTCTGACTGGAGATATTTTGATTGGTGCTGCCAAATTAAAGTAACAGGTGCATACTGCGGACAGTTTACACACAACTACATACATGCTACTCTGATGACTACTTCATGTTCTATGTTGCACTACCATCGGACTGAGATTGCTATGCTCTGTTTTTGTTGGGTGGGTCTGTAGGGTTGGAGATTGTACCCAATGGGATAATGCTACCTGAGGATCGACAGGGGCGCAGCACGGGGGAGGCGTATGTCCAGTTTGCATCCCAAGACATAGCAGAAAAAGCCCTGGGTAAACACAAGGAAAGGATAGGGCACAGGTGGGAGGCTGGGCTGATGACAGCAGCGGGAGGGACAGTCGCGTTCCACCGTCTGCAACATCGCTAACTTTACTTCTTTCTCTTGGATGCTACTGGGCAGAGTGGGTATGGATGGTTGGGGTCCCATTGGGCCGGGTGGATGGTGGATACAAGGAATCTTCTGTTGATGTTTGGAGTGATGGCAATAAATTTTAGACACTTGTGTTACTGTAGCCATTTGTAACTATTACCATTCTGTGTGATTGATGTGTCCTTGTGTGATGTTTCTGATATATTAGGTTTGTCATGTAAAAGTACATGGAGAATAGTAAATACTGAAACTTCAATATATGTACTGATGAGAGAAGGGTTGAGTGGTGAGAAAGTTGTGTGAATGTTTTCAGTCTCTTTATTATAATGTGTAATGGATTCTTATTGAAATCCAGTGGTAAACAATTGATTATCCTTTGATAGTTGTGTAACGTGAAATTAAGCAATGACATCTATGTGATTAAACTGAATGTGCTAAGCTATGTGTTACAGCAAGGAACGCATTTGTTATTGTAATAGATCATGTAACCAAGGTTATTGATTCTAATTGGGGAAAGCCATTGAAAGGAATCAGAACAAGAAGTCCCTGTTTAATATACAATTGCTAATTCTGTTACGATGCTAGGATGTACATATATATTTTGTCCACAACTGCAGCATGTTGATTGGCACCTTTCAGGTACATAGAGATCTTCAAAAGCAGCATGGGTGAGGCCTACAACGCCATGGGCCAGCAACGGATGAGGCCTATGATGGGAGGGTCCATGGGACGCCCAGGGCCCTATGATCGCAATGACCGCTTTGGCGGCATGGGCATGGGTAACATGGGAGGAGGTGGTGGAGGCGGCGGTGGTGGTGGCGGCGGCGGCGTCGGCGGAGGTATGGGAATGGGAGGATATGGCCGTGGACGAGGTGGCAGAAATGTTAAAGGTAAATAAGTCTGACGTATTTTCTGTTGCTGTAGTAATGGCATTATCTTAGTAAACAAAAGCTCAAAACTTTCACATTTGGGTGTGTATTTCTTATTATCATTGTTTGGTATTTCTTTTCCTTTTTTCAGGTTACTTTGAAGATGACTTTGATGATTACAGTGGAGGATATGGTGGTGGAATGGGATTTGGGGGTGGAAACCGTCGAGGGGGTGGCGGTGGAGGAGGTGGTGGTGTCGGCGGCGGTGGCGGCATGAGGGGCAATAATCAGCGGGGCCGGATGAATATGGACAGACCCCGTGGAGCCACTCCTGGCAGTCATTACATTAGTGACACTGGACATTCTGTACACATGCGAGGCCTTCCGTTCCAGGCCATTGAACAGGATGTATATGATGTGAGTTCATAGAATACTTCACTGTACCAGTCACAAGCTTGGAACATCTTTTTTAGTTCTTTATTAGCACATGCAGTTCATGGAATTGTCTTCCATAAAATGTACAATGCTTTGCTTTGGCATAAAATGTAAAGCGATTATTTTGGATTTCAGTTCTTCAGCCCAATCCGCCCTGTGAAGGTTGAATTTGAATATGCCCCAAATGGTCGACCAACTGGTGAAGCAAATGTTGACTTTGCCTCTCATCAAGAAGCTGTTGAGGCTATGAAGAAACACAAGTCAAATATGCGTATGTATTAATTGGGTAGATGAAGGTTGTTGGAATAATACTGTCCTTTTGTTTAGGATAAATTAAGGTGTGAATTGGAACTTTACAAGTAATAACATTGCAGTGTTTTGGAAAGATACATGAACATTTGAACTATAAGTTGTAAACCAGTGGTAAAGGAGTATCTAGGATGTAAGACTCTGAAGTGTTGACATATAATTTCATGAAAGGTCTGAAACCAATAATCAGAAAACTGAAGTGTTAATGAATTTGTGTCATTTACTGTTACTTATAATGATGCATCCTTTTGTTACAGAGCACCGCTACATTGAACTGTTCCTGAACTCAGCTCCAGCTGAACGTGGGGGCGGTGGAGGAGGATTTGGCTCTGGGCAGATGGGTGGGAGTGGTTTTGGTGGAGGTGGCAACATGGGCAGTGGCTTTGGCAACTCCGGAGGTTATGGTGGGGGTGGTGGTAACTATGGAAACAATGGCAACAACTTTGGAGGAGGAGGAGGAGGCGGCGGTGGTTATCAAGGTAAGTCATACAAAGGTTCTTTAGTATGAATGACACAACAATAGAGATTCTGTTGGGTCCTATAATAAGGGGCAGTTTTTAGGAGCAGTCTCGCGTTACTGACAAATAATTGAGACAATAGGTTGTTTCAGTACAGACAACCTTTATGGATAACTACTACTTTTATTTCGTGTATGTGACGTTTCGGTACAGTCTTGTACCATTGTTCTAGCTTAATGTCATCTATACACTCTAAATTGCAACTCTAAGAAGGTTGTGTCAGGTTTGCCATGCTTAGATGATCCTCAAACTAAACACTAAATATTTACTGTGATTTACTCTTCCTCATTTTTGTTACAGGAAACATGAATAGTTACATGGGAGGTGGTGGAGGCGGCGGCGGTGGTGGTGGCGGCTATGGCAACAATATGGGTGGCATGAACAACAATGTAATGGGAGGAAATCCAAACTACACAGCATTCTGAAGTGAACGGCTGCTTATTGTGGAAAGTTTTATTTGTGACATGGACACAACATTAGCATAAACACTGCGAGCAGATATACAACACTTGACTGTCAAGTAATAGATGCGTTGCCTCTGATCATTGATCCAGCTTCTCCCCCAGGCGTCAGTCAATGCTTATTCCATGTGTCAGTGGGAAGAATGACGGGAACATTGTCTTCACTTACGTGTTTGTCATGACATCACCTTTTCTACAGTATACTTTTATGGGACACTTCCATGGCTTCAAATGGTGTTGCAGCCCTGTAACTGACTGGATTGACATCGTTTCATACGTGGTTTACTTTTATGTGTACATAATATCAGGAACCTTTCTTAAATTGTAAGGGATATGAAACGTTTTAGGCCAGTCTGACAACTTGTATGATCATGTGTTGGAAATTATATTGATGGAATTCTAAGTGTTTTATCTACTTAAAGTATTGCTGCACACATTGTGTTGTGTATGATCTTGTATTAAGGACTCAGCCTTGAACTAATCGCATCAGTGTATATTGACCATGTTGCATCACTTGCTGTACATCAGATAAACTGTATCTCAGTAAACACCTCTCTTTATGTAACCGTTTTTGTTGTTGTCTGTTACGGGGCCACCTCTTTTGTTATACAGTGGATAGAAAATCTGTTTGGAGAGCAGGCTTCTCTCGGCCATGGCATACCAGAAGCTAACAAAATATGGTCCTTGATGTTACAGTGTCAGGTGTTTGGCATTAGGAATATGTATAATGTGTCTGAGTGGCATATCCAAGTCCAACTTTGGCCTGGCATCCATAGCATTGCTCTCTAACTGGTGCAAATTGAATCAGTTAATGCATCCGCACACTAGGCATGAAGCTATTTTGGTCAACTGTGGTGTCTGTTGACAACAAATTGTATGTATTGTATCAAACAAATGCTGATGGTCTACTGGTTTCAGTAGTGCTGTTTTCATTATAATAATATGTAAATTATTAAATATCTTAGTTTTAAATATTTTGCCCATATGAATTGCTCAAAATATTCCCAAACATGTATTTTCTGCAAATATTCTTGGGAGATACACACAGAGAGACAAGAGTCTAGTGGCATTAACTTCATTTGGAACAAAAAATGTAACGTATGTTATGGATTTACAACTTCTTTACAATTTACAACACAATGCTTCTGGGCTACTTCTTGCCCCTTCATCAGGTGAATGACAATATGAATATGAGCAAAGTATATAGAATGAACAGGAAGCCAGAGAGATAATATTACTGATTGAAATGTACAGGTGAGGTGAGGTGAAATTGGGTTTAACATCGTGCTTGAGAATATTTCACTCACATGACGACGTGCATGCGTGTGTATGGGTATGTGCGGCTGCTTGTACTAGCCCAGACTGAAGCTGGTTTTATAGTGCTAGCCCACTGAGATACCATGCTGCAGTGAAGCATGAATACCCCACTCAGACACATTATACTGACTCCAAGCCGACCAGTCCTTGCTGTACCCATTAATGCCGAGCGCCAGGCAGGGACCAACAAGTACCATATTTTAACGTCTTTTGGTATGACGGGGTCGGGGATCGAACCCGCGACCTTCCGCTCTCCGGGCGGACGCTCTAACCACTTCACCTCGGAGGCGGTCTGAAATGTACAGAGATCAAGCAGATAAAGTGATTGTGTTTTGATTGAGATGCCAAGAAACGTGTTGTAAATATGGAAGTTGAAATTCCATACCATATGCTGTTATGTTACCTTCTAACTTTTAAATGCCCATCAAGCATCTGAACAAAAAATATCATTTGAATTAAAGAAGTTAATGCAATTCAAACTATACAGGGTACAAAGCATGGAAATGCTAGTTGCAGTATTATTGTGTAGGATGTATTTTTCCCCCATCATGTGCTTTTCTTGTATTGTTGCTAAACCGGCTTAAAACCATACTCACTCTGGAAATCCTGGATCTGTGGTCATATATTTGGGTCAGAGAAATTAAGTTTGTGTGGTGGTGGCTATTTTTTCCAGTTAGACTAGATAACTTATAGACTGCTTTCCTATCTGGACCATGCAATCCAGAGCATTGATCTGTGCAATTGCTGCATGAACCAAGTCAGCTTGCCTGATGATACAATCGTGTTGGATGCCTCTTACAGCAAGCATTCAAACAAATGGACTTAAGTTAAAGCTATGTGTCACTCAGAAATACAATTCGGGTTTTACCGAATAGATCTCATATTGACCAATCTATTGTTCAAATAAGCCATTTTTAGGTCTTGCCAGCAAAGCACATATGAACTCATGAAGTTCATCCATATGCCACCTATCCCCTGACTAAACAAATAGTAGACTGTGGTAGCTCATGCCCAGCTGTGAAAAGGATGATTGTTTTTGTAATCTGATCCTGAGGTATATTGACAGGGATGGCTTCACCTGGGCCCACTTGCACAGAACGATCTTAACGCTACAATTATTGTAAATCCTTAAGATCACGATCTTAGGCTTCGGCTACAATTGCCATCCACTTGCAATTGTAGGCATCCACTTGCACAAAGCGATTGTAAGGAGCTAAGATCATTGTAGTCTGTGACAAAAGGGCCTTCACGATAGTGTCTGTTACACGCAAATAATCAGCTTTATGTTTGGAGACTGCTTTTATATTGCATAAAACTCTGTGGTTCGCCTCGACACTTCAACAACACAGAGAATGCACAACCGAGTTAACGTCGGATACATTGTTTTTAACTGTAGTGAACCTCAGAACTTTTGAGTCGATATCACAAAGTACTATTCAGTGTTGGAAAAGGGTGAAACAACATACCTTTTTGATAATCAAGGAAAGGATACTAGCGAATGGTGTCCGCGTGCGATCAACAATGGCCGTGACCTTTTCTTTAACTCAAGAGCAGATAATTTTAGTTAATACGCAAGATGGGAGTGGTTTCCCTTGGCATATGCTGTTGCCGTTGTCTGTAATGCACAATCTCAGAGCTCTTGAAACATATATTTCTTTTCGGTCATGGAGTTATTTTGTCTTAGTTGTCCCCCGCCGCAACGCGGAACGGGGGACTATGTATTCAGCGGCGTCCGTCCGTCCCGATTCTTTTTAACGTGATATTTCATGAACTGTTGTACCCACTGTCTTCAAATTTGGTGACAATCTACATTGGGAGATTATGCAGACACCAGTCGGTTTGGGTGACCTTGACCTTATTTTCAAGGTCACCTCAACACTTTGACCACTTTCAAACTCTTGTTAACGCGATATCTCATGAAATGTTGTACCCAATGTCTTCAAATTTCGTGACAGCCTACATTGGGGGATTACGCAGACACCAGTTGATTTGGGTGACCTTGACCTTATCTTCAAGGTCACCATGACACTTTGCACGCTTTTAACTCTTGTTAACGTTATATTTCATTGACTGTTGTACCCAATGTCTTCAAATTTGGCGACAGCCTACATTGGCGGATTTCACAGACATCAGTTTATTTAGGTCACCTTGACCTTATTTTCAAAGGTATGATTAAAACTTGTTCGCATGGTGATTGTAAAGTTGATTGTAGGAGCCAAAGATTGTAACTAAGATTGCTCTGTGCAAGTGGGCCCTGGTATATATAATTTATAAACAGATGTGTAATATAGCTGCCGGTAGCATTAAACAAGGCTCTATGGATTATGAAACTTCAGTTTGATGCTTATGTGCACAACTGAGTGTGCAGAGTTGCTTCCCTTAGTTACTAGTTCCCTGTGGTTGTCTCTTTAACACTTTACCCTAATATTTGGTATGTTGTATGCTAACTGCCGTGTTGAAGACCAGCTTAGCTTTCTTCCCACATCATGCGAACAAGTTTTAATCATACCTTTTCACACCAATGTTGGTAGACTGATGCTCATGTCAATTCACTGGATTGTTTAGTTGAGATGTGTATTTACAGATGCTCATTGAAGAGCTGGAATATTGCTCCCTGAAAGCATTTGTGTGAACAATATCTGCATATGGAAGAAAATTTAAATTTGCACATTCAGGCAGGTTTCCAGTCATAAGACAACCCAATAGTTTCTCCCCGTCATCACCCCATTTTAGTGTTCAGTATGTGTGATACCAAGAATTTTGTTCACACTTGTGTCAACTTGAATATAGCCAGTCATCTGAAAGCTGTTAGTTTCATATATTGGCGCTTTCCACAACTTTAATCAAAGATGCCAACCCAAAAGTGTTGCAAATAGTAGATTCAAGGATCAAAAATAGTAGTTTGACCATAAAAATTAGTAAGCAACCAAATACTTACAATCATGATGGATTTTGAGAAAAATATGACACTAATCAAGAGTGAAGCTTTAATTTCACATACCTCCAACAGAAGATTTCCAAATTATCAGCGTGTTACAATTCTTCTTGTCTCGTTTTAGCAGGGCTGTGTGGTAGCCTAGTGGTTAAAGCGTTCGGTTGTCACGCCGAAGACCCAGTTCAATTCCCCACATGGGTACAATGTGTGAAGCCCCTTTCTGGTGTCACCCGCCGTGATGTTGCTGTAATATTGCTAAAAGTGGCGTAAAACTAAACTCACTCACTCGTTTTGGCAAAAATGTATTTTATCATTGCGGGGGATATTGATGACTTTGTCTTGTTTATGATAACTCTGCAATCTGTGAGGCAGTAGTGCTTCGTATATTCAAAAATGCCTACAACACAATACAACAAACACTTATTTTTGGATAACAATTTTATTATAGATAGGTATGTATCACAGTAGATAGATGAAAAGTATTCTTTTTTAAATCTGTGGTGTCTGAAAATGGTAACATTGGAATACTCTCTCAAGAGAAAAAAACCCTCTCTACTTGAATACAGTGTGTTTCACATCTAGAATCATGATAAGGGTTCAATATCGAAGGAGGAAGAAAAATCCCATAAATGTTAACTTGCTATGATCAGGTGCTCCCAACAGTAGCACTGCATACACAAGGTCCTCTGTCTACAGGATGAGCATCTTTCTGGGCGTTAACCCTTCTACCAAACACCCTGAACCTTCCTCCATGCTTTCTGTCGCACATTCAGGTTCTGCATCACGAAGCATGAAGGAATATCACTCAATCACTAGTGTTCGCATGGACTGGCAGAGCTGTGATTATCACACCCTGACAAACCACTACATTGTTTAGCTACCTAAAGTTCATACCAATTGAAAAAGGTGAGATCAATAAGTAACAAGTGAAAGGTGTGCAGCGAAGTCAAGAGAGTCAAATATCCAGGTCATTTCACCATGTTCCATACCCGTGCTGACACCAAGGAAAGGGCACGTGGTGGAGTACCCTCTGAGGGGGTGATGCCGAAACAAGATGGAGAAGCAGCCCTTCAGTCGATGAATGTCTGGGTCTGTGACTTGCCACACTTCCACATAGCATTAAGTAGTTTGATGAGGCCGGTGTCCTTGGGTTTCTCCAGGCCCCGCATCACACGCTGCTTCATCACTGACACAAACTCCTTGTTACTCAGCTGGCCATCGTCTGGGTGGAACAGGAAGGGAGTAAGTATGGTATAATGGTAATTATTGCAATTTTCTAGCAATTTCACACTGAGGGCACAAGAAGTGCGCTTTGCATATTGTGCCTGTAATATCATGCTGGCCCCAAAATGACCTACACCGACAATCAGAAAATTAGGATAGTAGTCCTGTCCAATTCAACAAGGAAATATGTGACTGCTTAATTTTCACACATTTAACATTTATTGTCATTACAAATATGTTTAAAAAAAAGAACATAACGGGGAATCAAACATTAACACCTCTATTGTATGGCTGACATATTTTGGCTCGGCCAAAGCAGATTCAAGTTGTGTGTTCTATAGATAGTTGCCTGTGAAGTGGACTGACAATGTCATAGTGTGATGACAATCAAATACAGGGTCGCGGCACTGACTTGTCATAACACGTTCAGTTACTTTTATCAATACATCTGTATCTTAAAATATATGCTCTCATACAAGTACGTAAATGTCCGCTTGTGTTTCTCATGCTCACAAGAATATGACCTCTTTACTTAACTAGTGCATTAGAACGTAGTTACTTGTACAGAGAGACATAGCTGTACAGGACTATAGTGAATAGCCTTGGGTAAAGTAGACATTGACTTCTTACTGTTTTCATCGAAAAGTGTGAAGACAACATCGATGACGTGATCGGACAGCTCAACATGGGCCACGGTGCGGGCAACATGGCGAAATGTCTCTGAAAATGACAGAAATCAACATATATCTCATGTATTTCACAGACATTTGTCTCTTAATGCTGTACTCCTGACGGTGCTCTGTATATACTGGAGCAGACAATCCAGTGATTGATATTATGAGTAATGATCCCCAATCTGGGTACAATGACATGCAATCAAGTCACTGATCAACCAACCCTTTACAATCACTTCTAACAACCTGCGGGGAGGTGGGGTAGCCTAGTGGTTAAAGCGTTCGCTCGTCACACAGAAGATCCAGGTTCGATTCCCCGCGTGGGTATAATGTGTTAAGCCCATTTCTGGTGTCCCCCGCCGTGATATTGCTGGAATATTGCTAAAAGCGGCATAAAACTAAACTCACTCACTCACTCCAACAACCTGTACAGGCTACCAGTTCTAGTGAGTGAGTGAATGAGTGAGTATGGCTAGGCTACCACTAGGCTACACAGGCCCTCGTGTCTTTGTGAAGATTAAAGATGTTAAGAAAACATAAAACATTTGAGATGAGATAAAGGTACACCGAAGTGCCCGGCCCTGTCATAATGTATAGTATTGTGTAGCATTTCGAGTCGGGGGTCAACTGAAAAAATATCTTTAATCTTCGCAAAGACTGTGCTAGGCTACCCAAAAGCCCTGCTACCAGTTCTAACACAGATCCCCACTGTTTACTTCATGGATGGAAAATATGAATATACTTAGAAAACACCCTGATCAGATGAGAAACAAAGATAGATGTGTTTCAGTCTGACACAACAGGGCTGCAACTGGATTGAGCAGTGGACATCTACAGTGTAAATAACAGTAGAATACCAATAAATACACCTACAATAATTAGAGGTTTCAAATAGATTTGATAAATGTAAAAAGTGGAAGGTGTGCTGATAAGTACAATCATGGATAAAAGATTTTACCATGAATTTGTGAAATACTCAATTCTGATTAATCTTTGTGGCGTTCTAAAGGAGACAAACATCTTCAATGAAGAGCCATACAACCTTTAGATTCAACCATGATGAATATAACATCCTAATTGTATTTAACATAATTAAATCTACAGATACACTGAAAATTTTGTTCCTCATTGATACCCCTCAAGCATCAGTCAGAATGCAGTAAACTAAATATTCCATGGCAAACTGGAAGATACATACCCATATCAATGGAGACACCCGCAAGGTGGTAGAAGCTGAGGGCGGTGTCCACGTCGTTGATGCTCTTCAGGAACAGCCAGAACGCTGTATACTCACTAAATCCAATACCCTGAAACAGCCAGATCACTGTTTACTTAATAAATGTGATACTACAAATCAGCCGGAATGCTGTGCACTTACTAAATCCTGTACCCTGAAACAGCCAAAAGGCCGTGTACTGACTACTCCCAATACCTGGGAACAACCAGAAGGCCTTGTACTGACTACTCCCAATACCTGGGAACAACCAGAAGGCCTTGTACTGACTACACCCAATACCTGGGAACAACCAGAAGGCCTTGTACTGACTACACCCAATACCCAGGAACAGCCAGAAGGCCTTGTACTGACTACACCCAATACCTGGGAACAACCAGAAGGCCTTGTACTGACTACACCCAATACCCTGAAACAGCCAAAAGGCCGTGTACTGACTACACCCAATACCTGGGAACAACCAGAAGGCCTTGTACTGACTACACCCAATACCCAGGAACAACCAGAAGGCCTTGTACTGACTACACCCAATACCCAGGAACAGCCAGAAGGCCTTGTACTAACTACACTCAATACCTGGGAACAACCAGAAGGCCTTGTACTGACTACACCCAATACCTGGGAACAACCAGAAGGCCTTGTACTGACTACACCCAATACCTGGGAACAACCAGAAGGCCTTGTACTGACTACACCCAATACCTGGGAACTGCCAGAAGGCCTTGTACTGACTACACCCAATACCTGGGAACAGCCAGAAGGCTGTGTACTGACTACACCCAATACCCAGGAACAGCCAGAAGGCCTTGTACTGACTACACCCAATACCTGGGAACAGCCAGAAGGCCGTGTACTGACTACACCCGATACCCAGGAACAGCCAGAAGGCCGTGTACTGACTACACCCAATACCTGGGAACTGCCAGAAGGCCTTGTACTGACTACACCCAATACCCAGGAACAGCCGGGAGGCCTTGTACTGACTACACCCAATACCTGGGAACAGCCAGAAGGCCTTGTACTGACTACACCCAATACCCAGGAATAGCCAGAAGGCCGTGTACTGACTACACCCAATACCTGGGAACAACCAGGCCGTGTACTGACTACACCCAATACCCAGGAACAACCAGAAGGCCGTGTACTGACTACACCCAATACCCAGGAACAGCCAGAAGGCCGTGTACTGATTACACTCAATACCTGGAAACAGCCAGAAGGCCGTGTACTGACTACACTCAATACCCAGGAACAGTCAGAAGGCCATGTACTGACTACACTCAATACCCAGGTACAACCAGAAAGCCTTGTACTGACTACACCCAATACCCAGGAACAGCCAGGAGGCCTTGTACTGACTACACCCAATACCTGGGAACAACCAGGCCGTGTACTGACTACACCCAATACCCAGGAACAACCAGAAGGCCTTGTACTGACTACACCCAATACCCAGGAACAGCCAGAAGGCCGTGTACTGATTACACTCAATACCTGGGAACAGCCAGAAGGCCGTGTACTGACTACACTCAATACCCAGGAACAGTCAGAAGGCCGTGTACTGACTACACTCAATACCCAGGTACAACCAGAAAGCCTTGTACTGACTACACCCAATACCCAGGAACAGCCAGGAGGCCTTGTACTGACTACACCCAATACCTGGGAACAGCCAGAAGGCCTTGTACTGACTACACCCAATACCCAGGAACAACCAGAAGGCCTTGTACTGACTACACCCAATACCCAGGAACAGCCAGAAGGCCGTGTACTGATTACACTCAATACCTTGGAACAGCCAGAAGGCTGTGTACTGACTACACTCAATACCTGGGAACTGCCAGAAGGCCGTGTACTGACTACACCCAATACCTGGGAACTGCCAGAAGGCCGTGTACTGACTACACCCAATACCCAGGAACAGCCAGAAGGCCTTGTACTGACTACACCCAATACCAAAGAACAGCCAGAAGGCTGTGTACTGACTACACCCAATACCAAAGAACAGCCAGAATGCCTTGTACTGACTACACCCAATACCCAGTAACTGCCAGAATGCCATATACTGACTACACCCCATACCCAGGAACAACCAGAAGGCTGTGTACTGACTACACTCAATACCCAGGTACAACCTGAAGGCCGTGTACTGACTACACCCCATACCCAGGAACAGCCAGAAGGCCTTGTACTGACTACACTCAATACCCAGGTACAACCAGAAGGCCTTGTACTGACTACACCCAATACCTGGCAACAGCCAGAAGGCCTTGTACTGACTACACCCAATACCCAGGAACAACCAGAAGGCCGTGTACTGACTACACTCAATACCCAGGTACAACCAGAAGGCCGTGTACTGACTACACCCAATACCTGGCAACAGCCAGAAGGCCGTGTACTGACTACACTCAATACCCAGGAACAGCCAGAAGGCCTTGTACTGACTACACCCAATACCTGGGAACAACCAGAAGGCCGTGTACTGACTACACCCCATACCCAGGAACAGCCAGAAGGCCTTGTACTGACTACACCCAATACCAAAGAACAGCCAGAAGGCTGTGTACTGACTACACCCAATACCAAGGTACAACCAGAAGGCTGTGTACTGACTACACCCAATACCTGGGAACTGCCAGAAGGCTGTGTACTGACTACACCCAATACCTGGGAACTGCCAGAAGGCCGTGTACTGACTACACCCAATACCCAGGAACAGCCAGAAGGCCTTGTACTGACTACACCCAATACCAAAGAACAGCCAGAAGGCTGTGTACTGACTACACCCAATACCAAAGAACAGCCAGAATGCCTTGTACTGACTACACCCAATACCCAGTAACTGCCAGAATGCCATATACTGACTACACCCCATACCCAGGAACAACCAGAAAGCCTTGTACTGACTACACCCAATACCCTGAAACAACCAAACACTGTGTACTTAAATTCCTCCCCACCACCAAGATTAAATGAACAGGTCAAACCCAACCACAAGGGTTCCCATTACTCACCCTTGGGTTTTCCTTGAACTTCTTCTTCACTCTCTTCAACATGCGTAGTTTTTTCTTCTCTGGCATTCCAGCATATGTGATGAGGACATTGCCGAAGTCTTTCTCTGATATCGTGTCATCATCCTGCTTGTAGCGATTGAACTGAAACAGTCATTTAAGGAGCCTCATGACATCAAAATGAACAGTACATGGAACACAATTGCCTTGCCTTCAAATGTATAATCGCCATTCAATGCATTCCTGTCAAATTATCCATCATTATTTAAATCCATAACAAGGACAGGGGAGACAACCTACCTCTATCTTGAGGATCTCTGTCTGGAGCTGTCTCTGGAAGTCAAGGAAACCTTGCACAGTCAACTTTTTCTTGCTGTCCACACCAAAGAAGTAGGTGAGGAGTGAAGAACTCATGCCCTTGTTGACACTGCCAGTGTTGGCATGGTCTCGGTGCCGCATCCCGATCGATGTCTGACTCTGTACCACATCGTGTACCTGCACACACACAGAGGGGCAAATACAATATACCCACAGTAGCCCCAGGATACATTTGTCAGTTTATCACAATGTTTAATTACTGGCCCTTGATTTGCTGTACCAACCAAGGATACACCAACACATGGGAATGGGCAAGGGAGGCAACTCATATTCCCTACAAACCATAGAAACAGCTAGTTTCAGAGGGCTTGCTTCGACCATCCTCCCCCCTGTGTTTTGAGCACAGATATCGTCATCCATTTGTGTCAAGATCGTTTAGTTGAGAGTCAAAATCGGGTTTCAATTGACTTGCAGAAATAACAATAAAGAATTGGTAGGTTTCATGATAGGTGATCAATAGGCCTATCATCCATGATTATGTTCACATTAAGCTTTAATTGATTGCATGCGACGGTAGCGTAGCGATCGGCAAAGCAGGCGGGTGGGGTATACCGAAGTGTCCGGCCTTGTCATAATGTATCGTACTGTGAAGCATTTCGAGTCGGGGGTCATCTCAAATGTTTTACATTTTTTTTAACATCTTTAATCCTCGCAAAGACACGAGGGCCTGTGGTTTCAAAGGACATAAAGACATTCATTTTCTCTTAGAAGCTCAAACTGGGGCAGGTTTGTAACTTGCTTTCTGATCGGTATGCTGGACCCAGCAATATAACCAATCAAAGTGGCAGATGGAAATCAAGGGCAGACAATTTGAGATTGTGTGAGAACCACGGGAATGGATCCAGGTTTTCATGCAGATGTACCAAAATGTTTGCCCTGGAGATATAGTTGATAGTATACCGTCTCAACATGAACCCTTCCCTTAAAACCCTTCAGAGCTGAGAGGAAACGTGGGATTTCCCTGTAATGTGTCTTCAGATGGTGACTCTTGTAACAGCTAGCATTGTTACTGGGCCATAACAGGAACCCCATCCGTATATTGTAGTCAACATGTGCTACGGTTTTTTGTGTTTGGTGCAGATTGGTCTGTTGTTCAGTCATTGGAGAGTTGCGACGTTTGTTCCTAAGTAACCTACCTACAAACACATTATCTTTTCTTAAATTATGAGCAGAAGTATACAGTAATCGATGACATTGAAATGATAGTCTGACCACCTTACCTTCTGGAATTCTGTGTATTCAACTTCCCCGTCACCATTTAGGTCAAACATTCGAAATCCAATCTCAAAGTTGCGAGGAGGTGCTATAAATAGATGTACCACACTGAAAATACTGTGAATCCAAACAAGCTCTTAGTAACAAGGCAAGTATACACAGAGCAATGTCAACAGTTTAACAATCGAGATGGTCACCTCGAGATGGTGGCTATCCAATAAGATGGCAGACCACCACACAAAATAGTTGACCTACAAACAAGATAGCTGAGTAATGGATAAGATAGATGACAAATAGACAAGATGGCTGACTAATGGTCGACTGGTTTGTTGTTTTAAGCCACATTCAGCAATTATCCATCTATATGGCGACAGTCCGTAAATAATCGAGTCTGGACCAAACAACCCAGTGATCAACAGCATGAGTTGCAATCTACACACTTGGGATACGATGACATATGTCGGCCAAGTCAGTGAGCCTGACCACCCGATCCCAATACTCGCCTCTTACGACAAGCATGGGTTGCTCAAGACCAATTCTAATCCGGATCTTCCCAGGTTGGATGACTAATGGACAAGATGGACGGCAAAGACAAGATGGATGACTTACTTGACAACACTGTGAGGAGGAAGATATAGTCAGAGAAGGAGATGAGGCCTGTCTGCCCCAGCCTGTAGAAGATGCTGTCGTGACTCACTTCACACATGTCATCTAACTTCTCCCGCTGTAACATGTCACCACCAGGTTTTCAGTTAATGTGCGTCTGCTGCCCTCACTTTGACTACACTAGTACACTAATGCTAGCAGAACCTGCTGCCCAGAAACTATGGGAATGATGGACGCCAAATGAACAATGGTGTCTACATGTCCAATCATTGAACAAATGCTAAAAAATATTATTGATGATTTCTTTAAGCAGTGAAACTAAACTGATAATTGTTCTATGCTAAACATGCTAATATGGTTAAATGTTGTCTTCAAAGCACTTAAAGTATGACAATGTTAAACTGTTATCTGACATTATTACAACACAAAAATATAATATTAACTCCTTTTTTTTAAAAAAGCTAGAAGTAAATAATTGATCATTGAGCATAAATATTACTGTTATGCTGTTAAGAAGGTCAGTCAAATGTAATAATGGACAGCAGGGATCCGGAATCAAGCTTGTCTGATGAGCGACAAACCACACCATCTACTACAACAATACACGTCGCCATCACTACACCTCAGCAGACAAGGCTGACTCGGGTCCCTGCCTGTCATTGGGGGGTCAGTTTCTCTCATCAAGCTCATCATATATACTGAACAAAAAAATTACAGATCATGAATATGTTTTGGATGATTTTTGTAGTAAAGACCAAGCAGACAATTTCATAAAAGTCCCAACGATGTTTATGATCCTGACATGTTTTTGTTAAGTGTACACGACAAATTTTAATATAGCATCTACATAACAGAAGATGAACAGTTTCTATGGACACTAAATGGACACAACTGTTTCCGTGTCATCAATATAACAAAGTCACACAGTGGAAATGTCCAAAACGAAAGATATTAGTTTCAAAACACAATAATATGACTGAAAAAAGAACTTAAAAAACTACAACACCACATCTAGACTAATAATTCAGTCAAAATAAACACATTACACACACTAAATGAGCACAGGAAAGACTTGTAACTGTTCCAGTGACAGAAATGAAAACACAAAGATTGTAAAGAGAAAATACGGGGGATGAGGTCGCCATTTTGAATACTCTCTAAATGATGTGTTTCACGATTCTTCGAAGTTGCACAAACGCTCCTCTACCAAATCAGGTAAACTTCACTGAGTACTAGGATTCAGATAGGAGCACACGCTTCACTGAAGACCATTCTACACCCTTTATTGCTCAAAAAGAAAGTTACAGGAAAATAATTTCAGTCTGGTAAACAGATAATTAACAGTAATTTCATGCATAATTGTTAGAGCCATGGGAACCACAACATATTTTCCCATGAAATGACTTATTGAGAATTAACAGTATCAAGATGGCCGTTCCTCATGCCCAGCTTCCCGCAACACAACAGAACAGGAACATGTTTAGAAGCCCTACTTCGGTTCGGAAGGGGTATTGTACCCTTGTACCCTTGTACCTTGTAAGTCACTTGTGGAGGTTTGGGAGGGATATTGTACCCTTGTACCTTGTAAGTCACTTGTGGAGGTTTGGGAGGGGTATTGTACCCTTGTACCTTGTAAGTCACTTGTGGAGGTTTGGAAGGGATATTGTACCCTTGTACCTTGTAAGTCACTTGTGGAGGTTTGGGAGGGATATTGTACCCTTGTACCTTGTAAGTCACTTGTGGAGGTTTGGGAGGGGTATTGTACCCTTGTACCTTGTAAGTCACTTGTGGAGGTTTGGAAGGGATATTGTACCCTTGTACCTTGTAAGTCACTTGTGGAGGTTTGGGAGGGATATTGTACCCTTGTACCTTGTAAGTCACTTGTGGAGGTTTTGGGAGGGTATTGTACCCTTGTACCTTGTAAGTCACTTGTGGAGGTTTGGGAGGGATATTGTACCCTTGTACCTTGTAAGTCACTTGTTGAGGTTTGGGAGGGATATTGTACCCTTGTACCTTGTAAGTCACTTGTGGAGGTTTGGGAGGGGTATTGTACCCTTGTACCTTGTAAGTCACTTGTGGAGGTTTGGGAGGGGTATTGTACCCTTGTACCTTGTAAGTCACTTGTGGAGGTTTGGGAGGGGTATTGTACCCTTGTACCTTGTAAGTCACTTGTGGAGGTTTGGGAGGGATATTGTACCCTTGTACCTTGTAAGTCATTTGTGGAGGTTTGGGAGGGGTATTGAACCCTTGTACCTTGTAAGTCACTTGTGGAGGTCACTTCTTGCTATAACTGTTACCGATCGATCATCAATTTAGGTACTGTCAACTGGAGCAACTAATTTGCAAATAGCATGATACACTATCTCTACATCAAGAGTAAATGATCTCTGAACTCAACCGAAGACCTGAAAATCCTCTGTCCATAATCCTCTGTTTGTTCAGTGTGAGCTGATATATTTCAATATGACAGATACACCATGCTGCTACAATGTGTAGAACAAAGCACTGATGAAACTCAAGTGAATCAAAGCAGTTGTTGTTAACAGTGACTGCTGGTACACAAAAAGTTACCTCAGTTTGACATATAAACTCATAATAAAATGACTGAATCATCTTAAATCTAATATATCTAAATTTACAGTAAGCAGGTACTTTTCTTAACTTCTGTAGCTCAGCACAATGTTACAGTCACATGTGTGGGCTAATGGTGCTACGTCAGATGCATGTGCCGAGTGTATATATCTGATATTGCACCTTCAGGCAGGGAATATGCAGTGGTGAGGGTTGAAAGATATGTTTATACACTTGTTACTAGTTGTGAAGCTTAATGATTGTGATCAAATCAGTCAAGTGTTTTTAAGGATAATACAAAATGGGTATAAAGATGCTACTATTGTATCCAACATGGCATAAAAACTAGCACAGCTACTTCCAAAGCTGGTTGCATTCTCACAAACATATCCAAGCATCTACAGTATGTATCATATATCAGAAGTCAAAAGGTGCATTTCAATACATGTATAACACTGGGGAACAAAGGGTTTCTGTACAACACAATAGCTGTGGTTAAAGATGGTGAATGTGCCACACGTAAAGATGGCAGACGACAGCGCCATGCGGCGTTCACGCAGACAGGCTGCTGTAAACCAGGCCATAGAGTCTCATATGCACAGTCTGACAGGTAGGCAAACAGACATACAGATAGGCAGTCTGACAGATAGGCAGATAGGCAGTCTGACAGATAGGCAAACAGACATACAGATAGGCAGTCTGACAGATAGGCAAACAGACATACAGATAGGCAGTCTGATAGATAGGCAGACTGACAGGTGAGCAGACAGCAGATGATGGTGACTCAGCATAAGGGTATAGTCAGCAAATCTTTAAGATGAAAGACTGCCTGGAAAATTGGGCTGCTTCCCTTGGTCAGATTCCCACAATGACAAAAACAATGCATGTAGAGAACCTGGTTATTAAATAGTATGACAGCATGAAAAGGTTGAGTCAAGATTGAGAAAGTAATTATTATTGGTGACGGAACAGCAACAATGACGTTCCATTATGGTGATGTCACCTGGCATGGTCTAATTAGGTATACATCCCTGAAACAGCATCTGGCCTTATGTAACTATGGCAACCTGAAGCACTGTATACCATGGAAACATACATCATTCAGCTGCACCAAGAGGGTCAGGTGTGGACATTCTCCAGCTGCCAGCACTCTCCCTGCAGGGAGGCCATCACAAGTTGCACACACTGTCTCCAGCTGGGGAACAAAAACATCCAGGTCGGTCTTCAGTGGAAGCTCCTATTGGGCCCAACGTATATATTGTTTGGTTGGTTAGGGTTATGCCAACAGGAAGAGGTGAAACCAAGACGGGTTTGAAAAACACACCTGACATACTACTGTCCAGGACAACATAGTCGTGGTGTCCGTGAATACATTAAGGCATACTCAGAGACATAAACAGGGGTGATGCCTGCAATGTATGTCCAGACGGAGGGTAAACGCTTCCTGTGCACATATTGCTCTAAGGGGTTGTGAAACCACGAGTCACCCCCTCAAAATGTCACGTGATACACGAGTGTCATTCAATAAGGGTTTTGTAGAACGGAACTACTGTCAATCAGTGTGCCCATCATCACCATTACATAGATATCGTGTGACATAACTCAGCACACTGTTGGATACACCTTGCAGCATGTATGGGAGTAGTGCCTGGCTCCTTGCACAGGTGTGACCCAGCCATGTTTGCTGGTCCAGTAATAAGAAACAGGTTGCCATCCCTTGGTGGTGTATCAGTTACTGAGCCAGCTGTCAGCTAATTAGCTGATCCGTTTTACTACAGACAATAAAATGGGGACAACTAACACCAGCAAGAAAAAAGTCACTATTCGAAAAATTGAGGCAAAAACAATGACAATAAATATCAAATATCACTACTACGATTGAGAAAGATGGAGAAAATGGAAAAACAGGCAAGAAACATGATTGTCCAAGTTGAAAAGTGTAAACATGCATAAAGACATTTCAATTTCTCTTACAGTTGCCATTCAAAGTAGGACTGAGAAAATGAGCCAACTACAACAAGGAGCCATTCCCTACCACTCGGTGCCCTCTAAGACCTGTGACTTGATGCTCTATATGACAGCGGGAGAACCTTGCGAATATCCTGACGTTAAATATACCTGCGAGTCACAGCATCATTCATTCATATCCAGCAGTCAGGAGCTTACTATACAAAAGCCAGTTGTCTTCTAACATGCAGGACTGATTCTAGAATAAGCAGACCCATAGCCAGCTGAAGGTTCTGTCCTCTTGACATTAACTACTTTACTGAGATCAAACTGTTATATTTTCACACATACTTGATGGCTCCACTAACAGGCAGCCAAGCAAATTAGATTCATGTTCTTCAAATGGACTTTATGATAACCTCTTATGCAGAGAGACAATAATAAGTTACACCAGTGGTATTAACACGTCTCCTCCTACTGTGCAAGCCTGCTGGTGATAACGTTAACCCTAGTCCACAAATATGGGTTCATGGAGGCTTTGTGGAAAGGTTGGAGTAACTACAGGGTCATGTAGCGCCATAGAAAGTATTCACAATCACGTTTGATGCTGTGTAGAACATGACCATCTGCCTTAGTACTGATCTATCTATAGTATGTATACAGTATGCCAGAAGTTTCTTTCATGTTTATTCTCCCGCTTATTAATAATATTCCCGCCTCATTACAAAAGGGCCAGACAGACCTGTGACTACAGAAAAGAGCCACATCCTATGCCGGTCAGTGAGTCTAACCACCAGATCCCCACAGTGGCTGCACAGGATCAGCACAGGATCAGCATAGGTAACAGGGAACCAGTACTTACTTAGAACCCTACCTGGATCAGTAACACAGGACATCTGAGACCAGGTCACTACAAAGACTCTGAATCAGCTGACCTGCCTTTACTTAGACGAGCCCCGTCTCCCCATCTCTACTGCTTCATGTACTACACAGTACACATGTACTACACACAGCGTTTGTTTGCTATACAACCCCAACATCAAGCTTGCCAGAAGAGTATCAAAGTCGTTTTGTATTTGAGCTGCTTCTTCAGTAAATATTCAGTAAATGTACCTGTTGTGAATAATCTAAATTTTGAATCTAACAATTGAATAGGGGCAGTATTTCCTGTAGAAGCAATATCCTAGAACTAAAGTCCTGGTTGTCACAACATACAGAAGTAAGTAGTCAAGGTTCATTAACAATAACAAATTTGTTTCAGTCACAAGATTTTATCAATCAATAAAACCATCTGAATAAAATTTGAAAACTAGTATTCAACTCAACTTAAAACTAAAACACAGGAAGGGGGCATAACAGGCCATATCAACCTAAGAATGGAGAAATACGTAGAAATTGTTCTAAAGAAATGCACTGCCATGCAGAAAGGAGAGAGACACTCTAGAAATGTTAGTAGGGCATCAGCAGCAGCAGCAAAGGAGAGGAAGAGGCGCACTCACCATCTCAAACAGGTTATCCTTCTACGTTCAATACAAAAACAGCCATTCATTAGATGCGTATCTTATACTACACAAATACATATCAGCAGTTAGGCGGGGGAAGCCGCTTTCAACAGTATTTCAGTTACAAGCTGTCAGTTTGTGTGGGAGACAAAGGTGATGCAGGCCCTAGTCAATTACCACGTTGGTGCATCTCACAGGCATGGTACTGACTGACCTGGATCTGGCCTGCTAGCTAAGGGAACTAACTCTGTATAGTCAGTGAATCTACAGATCACTTTCATCACCTTCCATTGACATTACACGTTATTAATTTTTGCAATAAATCTATTCACTGAACCGTCATTCTTGAAAAAAACCCATAGCATAGTGTTTGTTTTTTAAATTAAACTTGACTGCCACTTCTAAACAGATTCCCTAAGCTACTAAAACTGGTCATTTCAGGACAAGGAAACAATGGGTGTGACACAATGGGTGAATTGACAATAAAAACATAGCATACATTTCCTTCTCTACTGGTAGTCTGGCTCTGGAACAAAAACATCATATTTATTGTGCTCGTGACCATAGTTGCCATGTTTAAGTGTGCATGTACATGATTCCTTCACTGTTACCACGTTTCAATGACTCCCCAATCATCCAGTGCATTACGTCTCCAGTCCATTCATGTTAATTTTGAGAAAAATTTAATGAGCTTCAGATAACTGTACATCAAATTACAGATATCAGCAAAATATTCTGAGCTCATGTATAAAACAGATAAAGTTGGAATTTTACTACCGAGCTGCTGACAAATTGTGAATAATCATATAGAATGGAGATATAAAACACTTAATATCAAGGGTGATGTAAATGTTATTTCTTCCCCATTTATCAGAATGACCAGAAGATGCTTTGCTAACCAGTATTAAACTCAGAGAGTAAGAAAATTGAGATTTCCCGATGACAGAAAAGCTTGAAGCCTCCCTGTAGCCGAGATGGTGCACGTTCCCCTTCATCATTACATCATTAGTTCTACATGAACATCTCTACGGTTAGATCCAGGACTAATCAATGGTTTACACAACATGTAAGAGGCTGCTTTCATTATTTGGTTTATAGATAAAAAGCAAATCCACTGGGTCCGCAATTGCAAAATAAATACAAATTTAAAAATATTCAAATGATTCTCAGGGTTTTTTGGAAAGCAAAATCAAAAGGGCTTTATCTCCAGTCCTGTATCAAACTAACTTGGGAGAGTGTGCTATCAACAGTTTTCAAAAATCTGAACATCAGGTTAAATTCAGATTAATTTGAAATAAATCTAGAAATATTTAAATTTTGCAAAATGTTGGTAGATCTATAAACCAATCACAAAAAAGCTTTGCCTCCTTTTACTTTAAGTAATATATTGTTATTAATTACAATATGCAGCCACTGTCTTGTTCCACAAAGCATATCAGCATACTGCATACACAGCACACTGTAGCTTCGTATGTTACCATCCCGTGCAGGCCTCACATACCACAGGCACTTAGTGATCAGTTCAGATATACTCTAGAAAATCATTCACTTGTGTTCATGTTCTCATTTTGTGAATAAACAATCATAGAAACAGCTTTACCAATTATCTAAATACATGCCAGTCATATTATGAAACTAGAAACAGCTTTACCCAATATCTAAATACATGCCAGTCACATTATGAAACTAGACATTTTGTGGCATGGCCGTAAGCATTTTGTTTAAACATTTTGTAAACCCACAGCTGAACCTTGAACGTAAATGACTTGACAGGGAAGAACACCATGAAGAGCCAGAACAAATCCTTGTCAGGCCCGATCCATTAAGTATTTGTAGCTACAACAGTTGTAAGTCAATTTCCAAACTTACAAGAGTCATAGTATTAATACTTCTGGATCAGGACCATGAAAACAAGGATTTTAAACTATATAAAACACAGCTGGTGTATCCACAAACAAGCAGGAAGTACCAGACATGTTCCCACTTTTAGACTACGTCTGAATGTTCCTGCTACATGACACTTGTCTTGGCTTACAATCAGTTTGTTCAATCTATAGCAGCAGCCCAGAGATTACAGATAGTGAATCTCCGACATTGTTGTCTTGGTCAGAAGTCAGTGTAGCTACACGTAATATGATAAAGATACTTGCATCTATTCAAATGCCAGAATTCAAAAGTTTTGCAATTTTGCAAATCGTGGATAGAGACCACAGAAGACATTCAATTCAAGACATGACCTGACTTCTACTTTGCCATAAATTAAATCAGTTGGAGGAATGACGAATTTCACAACATGACTGTACAATAGACATACCCAAACTTCCTGATAAAGAAATATTTTATGTGAATAAATTAATTCTATTATGCACAGTGACAGCATGATAAGTTATATGAGTACTGCTACATGTATTTGTGACAGTAAATAGTTCTATGTGTGGACTGATGTTTGCTATGAGATATACTACAGTTGGTTATCAAGCATGTTTACTATTCTACAGGAGTCAAACTCATCTAGTATGTCTAGATTTCTAAAGTTGCACAAACATTTTCACACATTTATAAAAACTGACTTCATTTCACATATTTTTAGATCTGTGATTCATATTTTCTGAAGTTAAACTGTTAATGTCTAACTCAATGAATGTCCAATTCAATTAAAGTTTTCGTTTAAATTATTCATATGATTTACTGAATTATATTTATGAATTGTGATGAAAGTACCGCAGCAACAAGCTCCACCTACCTTAGGGTCGAACTTCCTAAACTGGTCGAGTCCGAGGCCTGTAAACACCAGACACACAATGGAGAAACAAAGGAATACAGAATCGGGATCACTTCATAGGTTTCAAGACGTTTCAATCCAAGATCAGTTACTACTTGACAAGGAATCATAATAAAACACACACTGAATACAGGCCAGATAGGACAATCTATACAATACACCCATCTGGATAAACGTATCAATGTATTGTATTGTATAAGCCAGTTCATATGTTACAGAAACTGTCACACACAGTTTCCTAACACCCAAAAGTCTAGTGATAGTACATGATACACATGTACACACTAATATATGCTGTGCTGATAAGAATGTGTACATATTTTACCCATGTGGGGAATCGAACCCGGGTCTTCAGCGTGACGAGCAGACGCTTTAACCATTAGGCTACCCCCCACCAACAAACATGAGGTACAGGGGATCTATTACCAGTCACAAGGCACCACTGTGTATGTTGTGTATTACACTGTTACCAGTTACAAGGCACCACTGTGTATGTTGTGTATTACACTGTTACCAGGTACAAGGCACCACTGTGTATGTTGTATATTACCCTGTTACCAGTTACAAGGCACCACTGTGTATGTTGTATATTACACTGTTACCAGTTACAAGGCACCACTGTGTATGTTATGTATTACACTGTTGTATATGTTGTGTACACTGTAACCAGTTACAAGTTACAAGTTACAAGGCACCACTGTGTATGTTGTATATTACACTGTTACCAGTAACAAGGCACCACTGTGTATGTTGTATATTACACTGTTACCAGTTACAAGGCACCACTGTGTATGTTGTATATTACACTGTTACCAGTTACAAGGCACCACTGTGTATGTTGTATATTACACTGTTACCAGTTACAAGGCACCACTGTGTATGTTGTATATTACACTGTTACCAGGTACAAGGCACCACTGTGTATAGTCAGTGACGCAGAAATGGTCCTCCTCCGACCTACCTTCGGGCTGTTTGATCCCAGGCGTGATCGAACGCACAAAATCCTCTGGGGTCATGAACACTTCCCACACGCCAGAATTAATCTGCACCTTCAGGGTGGCAAAGTACCGGAAAATCTTGTCCGGGGTTGAGTAGGCTCGGATTCTGTCTTCATACCCAATGATCTGATCAACAAAAGATTATTATCTTAAGTCAGACAATTTAGCCCACAGGTGAACTGTGTTCTCTTTCATTGAAAGAGTACAGTATAGATGATAATTTGAAAGAGACACTGTCCAGTTTGTGTCCAGGTACAAATCAAATACATGACGTGTGACAGTTTTGTAAGTTTTTGAGTGTAATTCTCCATGTTCCTTGTGGCCCTGCTAACAGTTAGGCTCTAATACTCTGTGATTACCTTGCATGATTCATTACTCAAGACACAGGCTTGCTAGACAACTTTATCTGACATCTTGTAAAGTTGTTTTAAACCAAAAACACTCATTCCCACCTTCCGGTCTCTGAAGCCGATCTTCTTCTTCTTGGTCTTCTTGCCTTCGTCATCGTGCTCGACGGCCTCACTGGACTGCCCCTCCACAGCAGCAGCATCCACCTTCAACCACTTTGCCAGCATCGTCATTCTGAAACAATGTCCCAGCAGCTGTTACATACATAGTTCTATGTATGTAGTTGTGGTAAAGTAGGACAGCTTTAAACTGTTTCAGTGGTGTCCCTGTCATATCCTGGGATGATGGCCTGGGCTTATGTAAAAGAACAACGAAAACCAAGGCCTACTTCCACCTATAGGGATGCTTGCAAGTGTATTCATGAGTGAGCACTTAGAGTAAACCTCCTATGTGACATGTTCCTAACTTGTCAAAGTGTACAACATAGGCCACAGACTTCAGACAAGAAACTGTACATGTTGCCTTGATGTTAGACAATGTTAGAGTTCACAAAACCTGGATTCAGGGAATTAGTTATTCATGGCCTCTTTTCATCTGCTGAAAAAAAACTTTATGAAAATAGTAAAAACAATGAGGAATCAAAACTCTCTTTAAAAGATTCTATGAATAGGTACTACACACCTCTCTTTACACTGAGCGACGTTAAACCCAATTTCACCTCACCTCACCTCTTTACACTGAGCATAGTAAGTGATCATAAAATTAGGAGACAACTGATTGAAATGATATGAATTAAAGAAACTATGCTAACTTACCCATCAAATCCAAAAAACAAAAGCAAGGATCCTCCTAAGAGAGCAAAGTAAAACTTTGAGTAGCCACTGGATGGACGAGTCTTGTGACCGAAATTGGAATATGGTGTTTGTTTGGCTGCCAGGCTGGCGTATGTGTGGAGAGAGTTGACAGGCAGCGTCCCCGCTGACACAGATCTATATAGTGGCAGACGTACAACTTGAACAGGTGGCGGTGACAATGATGAAGAAGATGATGGATGCTTGTATGGTTGGGTACCACCATTTAACACTCTGGCAGCTATGCAAGCAGTCCTCACCGTCGACCCTCTCTGTTGTAGTAACTTTGAAAATTCCATGGCAAGCATCATGCCATCTCTCTTGATCTTCAACGAGCCCAATTTCAACATGATTAACCTGAAAAACACAATAGTGCCCTGTAAGCCTGCTGTACACTATCTGTCAGTATCTATGCTATAATATATTATTGAATAAAAAATTACATCTGACATGAAATGTTAGCTCTTAGAAGTGACTGAACAGATCAAGGGGTTAAGCACAGGTTCACTGTGACACCACTCCAAGACAACATGGATCAGTCAAGAATGAAGATATGGGGAGACACTTCACAGTCAAGGCATTGCTTTCTACAGAGAATAAAACAATAATTGATCTAATGCTATTTTACACCACAGTTATCAATATTACAACTTGGCTATGGTTGGTTTTTTGTTTAACTTTGCAATACTCAGCTATACGATTGCAGTCTGTAAATAGGCAAGTTTGTATCACACAATCCAGTTATTGACTTCATGAGGAGTGATCTACACAGTTGGGATACGATGACATGTGTCAACTATGTCTGACCACCTGATCCTGTTAGTTGTCTCTTATGACTAGCATGAGTTGCTAAAGATTGATTCTTACTTGGATCTACTACTAAAAAATACTGTAAGTAATTGAGTTTCATAGCAGTACTCAAGATGGCATGTCTAGCTGTTGTAACCAACATCATGAGTGAAACAGACATTTGTAAACATTATGATTTATCACAAGGTCATAAGTTTTGAGTTATAATACACAGCAGGTATTGACAGATGAACATTGCATTGAAACTTTCTAGTAATACTGATTAACCTCAGACAACTGACACAAAGCATATTACATACTGTTACCTAAATCTCTGACCCACCTATCAACTCTTCGATCAGATTACATATTTAACAAGTATAAAGTTGAACTACTCATAATATATGTCAGAATAAATGAGGAGATATAAAGTTATCTTATTTAAAAATATGTGTGTACTACAACAAACAAAATAATAATATCCATCAGGAGCATAGATCAATTGATATATGACATAATCAGTCAAACCCGCAATGTAGCTAGCTACCCAATCACCACTGTAAGTATTTAGTAAGTAAACAGACAAATATGAGTACTCATAAATTAGAATGTGCTACAACATATTGACTCAGTGAGTTGGATGACTGAGCATGTCAAGTTGAATGATCAAAACATACAGCCTAAATACTCTGTGGTGAGGGCATATATTATGTTTTGCATTTTTTTCAGTGAATTATGATTCCTGTACATTATGGCAGTGTATAAAATGCGGTATGTTCCCAATCGTGAATCTGTATGTCACAGCCCGTACCTTGAAATCATATCACGATAGACAGCAGTGTCGAGATAGGGTTACCGCTGCTAATTTGGCAGATGATCTTGCCAGGAACATAACGACAGGCTATTTCGCAATTGGGCAATTTCCACCTGGATAAAACTACTTTATCGTGGATATCGGATGTGTGTACATAAAGGTGATGTCACTGAGATCTGTCACTACACTAGCCTAGATGTGATCAATACATCCTCGTGGGTCCCATCAAAACAGTTGACCATTTTGCCTTGACTTGCATACGATCCCACTCACAAGTGGACAAGGCCCATCAGGATAATTCCTGGCCGAGGACATGAGATTCAACAATTACATGTGTACTTACACCATACAAATACTAGTTTAATACACAACGGCAAGTGGGGTGCAACAGTCACTAACCTTAATGCACTATTAATTACACACTTGACAGGGGTTAAGTTCGTCCCGTAAGCACAGCCACTAAGTGGCATCCATCTTCCTATGGTCGACTAACATTTCGCGTGTTTTTCCTTCAATACCGAACGATAACGTTACTCTGTGATTGGCTGCCGCGTGAAAATGTTTCCCCATAGCCAATCATTTACCGGTACATTCTAACCGGTTTCAAATAACGGGTGCATTTAGTAGTGTGTGTTCGGGCGACTATTCGGAATGGGATTTTTCACTAACAGTTCACACTGCAGCAACACGGACGCCTCATACTAGTTGGGGGTTTCGTTGATTCGTTCACTGAAAAGAAACCAAAGTATATGAATGACATTAAGAAGTGATTCTTTGATCCGCATTCAGAGATGGTAAAGAGTAGGGGAATCATAAATGTCAACTTATTGTTAGGAACAAAGTTTCGTTTATAAATATGCCTACTCCTTCATCAGACCCTGGATTTTTAACCCGTCAAACAAATGTAAAGTGAAGTTAGTATATAAACGAAATCACGAGTTGAATTGTTCCAGACACGACAGGTTCAACGATATACACCACAAGTGTAAAGTGAACGAAAATATATGGAACAGCAATAATTTCCTGAAAAGGCCAGCCAAGCACGGCTATGTCAAGCTGTAGACTAAGCCTGAAAAACACACAAAGAAAAACTGCTGAATTAAAACCCAGTTAACTAAATATTGAAACATTCAGTCAATCAATATGTTGTCAGCTATCAATCTTCGCCTATGCGTCTTTCAAAGTGATTGAGTGAGTGAGTGAGTGAGTGAGTGAGTTGAGATTTATAGTCACATCGGCAATATCTCAGGTCTACATATCGTGACTTAGAAAGTTATAAATTGATAATAAATGGAATTAAATTACTAAAACCTGTCGACGAAGGACTGTAAAATAACTAGATTACCACAAATGGAAACGTAAATTACTAAAACCAGTAATCAGATCTAAAACATTTTAACTATAGAGGACGACACAATATAAAAGCAGGCTACATATTGCCAACAACTGAAGGCAGAGCACCATGCTAGAGACCATGGGCACTTAAGGTACTTTTGCTACCTGAATGGACCCTGGTTGGATTTATCCCATCCCTTCAGCCGCTGTCGATTGTAGGAAATATTTAGCCGAAATTTAAAAGAACAAAAATACTACGTTTAAAAATCTGGTAAACTTAAATTTAACTTTGAAAGTTTTGGGACTTACGTACCCTCTCAGGAGGACAATAATTTTATAGTACTTCATCCCCTTTTGAGGGTACAGCCACTGACAATCTCAGTTATTAATCTAAACTACCAATAATAAAATATTTACTTATTTACAAACTATAGTCATCAAAATTTACGCGTCTTTAAAAAAAACAAAAAAGCGAGTAAGCATAAAATGAAACTTTGAACGCATTATCATGAATATAAGTTACAGAAATTGCTATACGAATAGAACTAGTATCTTAATTTACCTGCATCAATCTTTTTCATACGTACATATTTTCGGCAAGTTTTCAGCTGTATTAATCGTTGATGGACATGTTTTAACAAAACTTCAGGGCCTTATTCTGGAGATTACAAGTTTTTTTCAAGAATCTTAACCTATAACAAGATGTCTCGGTGTGGTAAATACATATAATAAAACCAAGGCGTCATTAAAGTTTCCTGTTAAGCCCATTTCTGGTGTCCCCCGCCGTGATATTGCTGGAATATTGCTAAAAGTGGCGTAAAACTAAACGCAGTCAGTCATTAAAGTTTCCTAAAACGCGTTTCTGTACAGCTAAAAACATAATCACCCAAATACCATCAACGGTTCGTATGTTTCCGCTATTTTTCCGAATGTTACCGAACGAACGATAATGAAATACCGGAAGTAATATTTTGATAGCCAATCACATTTACTGTGTCGTAGGATTTGGCGCCTTTTGGACGTAATTTGGCGGGAGTCTTCATTCGTTTGAGGGAGACAGGTCGAGATACACAGTAAGAGGGAAATCTGCACCCATCTCAACTGAGGTTATCTCTTCGTGTCTGGTTTTCACCAAGAAGTCGTGACTTTAAGCTGCTTCCTTTGGCTGTACTTTTATTTACACCGTTGCCAATTTCACCTTGTCATAATGTTTGAGGCACGACTCAATCAAGGATCTTTGCTTAAAAAGATCATGGAAGCTATCAAGGAACTTCTGAATGAAGCAATCTTCGATTGCCAGAGTACGGGTGTCACACTTCAAGCCATGGACAGTTCCCACGTCAGTCTTGTGTCCCTAAATTTACGAAGTGAAGGATTCGAATCGTACAGATGTGACAGAAACTTATCGATGGGAATCAACTTGCAGACGTAAGTTTCTATATTTGGAAATAATAATGCTCACTCATCAAAACATGTTTTTAGAATATTTAACGACTGATTTCACTTATAATACTCATTAAATAGGTGGTGTCAATGTAATGATCTCTGCACTCCTTTTGCTGTAGCACAGTATACGCTCTAGATTATGCATGTATATTCATGTTTGTTGTTGATGTTGCAGAATGTCGAAGATGTTGCGGTGTGCAGCCAATGACGACATCGTAACAATAAAGGCTGACGACGCAGGAGACAAAGTCAAACTTGTTTTTGAAAGTCCAAGTAGGTTGTGTTTACGCTAAAGAATACTGAGAATATCAAAGCTTGACGAACTTGATTTTACCGCCATTTATGTTAGGCCTAGTGCCAAAGTCGATGTCTCACTTGCGTATTAGAAAGTTACTTCGTAGTACGAAGTTTCTGATTGATAATTATTTTTGATGAGGGTTCATAGAATATAAGTGATATAATTTTATTTTCAGACAATGAAAAAGTATCCGATTATGAAATGAAGCTGTTAGACTTGGACACTGAACATCTTGGAATTCCTGTAAGTACATGTATCTTGGTTGTATGTCGGTGATGTCTTGACTGAGAGATGCTTCTGTTAATGCCAGTATTTTTGGTTCTTGTGTTGTATATATTTTATTGTGTAAGGCAGCTTGTAGTGCTGGGCCTCCTTTCACAAAGCACTAAGGTGAACCAAAGTGACTAAGGTAACCTTAGTGAAAAGTAAAAGAATGGGACTTACGGTTTACCTTAGTAAAGGTTGCTCTGTGGAAGGAGCCCCTGGTTGGTTTGTGGTAACAAAGACATATTTAGATTAAGCCTCTGTAGTTAAGGAAAATTGTTGTTATCGTAGATTCTCGGTATTGAAGTGATGAGATGGAAAGTTGGGGATCAACTCAAGGGTATGCAAGTGTATCTGGTTATTTTAGTATATAATTGATTTACTTTCTGTTCAGGATACAGAATACAGCTGTGTCGTCAAGCTACCGGCAGCAGAGTTCCAGAGAATCTGCAGAGATCTGAGTCAAATTGGAGATTCAGTCGTCATATCATGTGCTAAAGAGGGCGTTTCCTTCTCTGCAAGTGGAGATTTAGGAACAGGTAATGTTACACTAGGACAACATATCAGTGTCCTGCATTAACCACTATTCAAAATCTGAAGAGCAGATTTCTTCTCAAGATGTACAACAATTGACTGTAAAAGAAATGTTGTTTTTAACATGCCATGTGACAGAGCTTCTGCTTAGGAAATATCCTCAACACCTGTTACTGACAAGTTTTGTATCTGAACTAATTCCAATTCCAAATGGTTTCCATGTCCCAGTTTGGGACCATCTGTTTGTATTTACAAGTTGCTAAAGTTCGCTCTGTTTCTGTCAGTGTGTTGAAATGTTTGTTCAATTTTTCTGAGATTAGTATAGAGACACTCACACTGATTGGTTGAGAAATGTTGACTGAGGAGAGCTACATGGCAGGATTTATGAGATAGGAATCGTGTCGTAGATCATTTATAGGGCTGTGTATGACATGCAGTGCCAGGGTATTTGTTATGAACCTCTGAACGTATGAACTGATACACACATTAAATGTACCATCTGCATAAACAGGATTTGTTGTTAGTCCTCTGTCTAGCAGTGTGTGATATTTGGATGTAATACTCCTACAGTTTAACTCTTGGTCAAGCAAGTTCAGCAGGTACTGAATGGTGAACTTTCTGGACCAATTGTAAAGTTTTGTCAAAGACTAGTTTGGATCATAGCTTTCATTGGCTGGTGTTCGGGTTGTCCTTTAGAATATTTGTATGCATGTGATGCAGGTTTTTGTACATGATATTGTGTCATGTCCCAGTTACATCCTCCCCTAACCTTATGGGGATTCAGGTGGCTGTTACAGTTGTGCAAATAAATCCTGACAATTTGTCTTTCCAGGCAACATCAAGCTGGCCCAGAAAGCATCGGCTGACAAGGAAGAGGAAGCAGTCATTGTTGAAATGAACCAGAGTGTATGTTTGACATTTGCCTGCCGATACCTCAACTTCTTCACCAAGGCCACCCCCCTCTCACCTCAAGTTACCCTCTCGATGTCACAGGACGTGCCATTGGGTAAGTGATGGTATAGGTTGCCACAGTCCTGGTACAGTGTTGGTCCTTTAATTGTCAGTAGCAGTTGTTTGGATACTAGGTCCTGGTTTTTATCAGTCAATTAATATGGAGTGGGGGTGAAAGTGGTTCCTGATTTGATAATATTTTGTTGTTGTTTTGTTATAATTAGCCATGCAGTTATGTCCTTTGAGCATGTCAGAAACCAATGGCTAAGAATTAGTTTGATCCCAGGTCTGTTGGATGATATTGCTAGGTTCCTAGTCTCCATATCTGTCGTTAATGTTCAAGACCCATCCCAATGCATATTTTTCCATTATTGGAAGCTGTAATAGTTTTCTAATAGACAGGCTTTTCAAAGTTGAAGTAAACCTAACTCTCTTAATGGAAATCGATAAGGACCATTTTGTGTGATTTGGTTTCAACTTTTGAGATTCTGACTTGTCATTGATGTAGGTATTTAACCGGAACAAAGATGATCTCCTGTATCCCTATATTGTATATTACTTTGTGTTTCAGTTGTGGAGTACAAGATCGAGGACATGGGCTACCTGCGTTACTACTTGGCTCCCAAGATAGAAGACGAACAGGAAAGTTAAGGAAACAGGAACGACTGATGTTAGAAGATTGTTAGACATT